AACTCGTTACGTATTTCTGAAGGAGGGAACAAGGAAGTCATCATGTCGTTTTTTGGACAGTGAAAACAGCGGTTTACAGATAAGTAAATTGTGTGAAAAATACAGTGTTTTTTTACACACGAAACATGAACACATGTTATATTGCACACTGTAAACACAATCAAAGCTTCAAAAAAACATGAAGAACGGGACCTTTAAGACATGCTTTTTTGCAGACATGCAGCAAATACCAGTAAATTCACTACCGCAAACCTTAGTAAATCACTTTGCATGCATGATTTATTTTAATATAATCCTCTCATCGATGTTGTGTCCGAAAGGGGAACTAATTTTGCACCATGTAAATCCTGACAGTATTTTTTTATTGCCAAAAGAGGGTTTGCTCTGGCACAAGCTGTAAATCTGGCCCTTAGACTCAGTAGCCACTCAATATTGCAACGTCCGGCGCAGTGTATGGAAATTGTGAGAAAATTAAGCACAAAATCAAATCTTGAGGAAGTCTTACACAACAAGACAAAGCAATTATGATACGATCCACCTTCACACTAAACACACTAAAGCTTCAAGGACTGTGGTGTAATAGATACTAAATGTTTAGTTAACTATAGTTAATAATATAATATATACAAAACAATATAATTATTTGTGATCAACACTTATTAGAAATAAGAGTTTGCTATAATCCATTAAGTCATACATCACACTAGAAATGGATGTCAAGTCCAATGCATTGCAGGATATGGTATTCTGCAAAGTATGATCTGTGATATCCTGCATATTTTGATAAATATAGTAAGTCTTTCAGATATTGCAAACAGCCTACGTACTGCAAAAATAGTACAAGTGGTATGACAGTATGTTTTACATACTATGTGTACTGTACAGTATATGCGTGTATGTGTTACCCCTGTCCCAGCTGTCGACACACCACAGCGGCATCTCGGTCATCCCAGTCATTACTGCAGATGGTTCCCCACACACTATTCAAATACACTTCTACTGTACCATCCAACTTGGATCTGCCTCCCTGTAGTCGCAAAGAGCCTGCAAATACACACAAAAAGTGAGTTAAACTTGAGTGTTGTTGACCTTCACTGCTCAGGCAGGTGATAAAAGTAAATGTTCTGCAAACAATTGGTTCCACTGGTCTCGGTAATTTTGATAAATGTGCGCATTACAAATGTTCCCACTGTTACGCAGCACGAAAACATTAATCCATGACTTGCTTTATGTGATGACAGAGGAAAGCTAAAACCTCCACATGAGTTTAACTTGTCAGTTCTATAATAAATGTGTGTGTTTGTGCATGTGATACTGAAAATTACTCACAGCTAAAATGTATGTCATGAAAACAATGTAACAGCAGAGTACAGCAGTACAAAAATGTCTATTATAAAACCACTGAGTGCAGATGAGATAAGCCATTTCTTTACTATTAAAATACATCTCTGCATTCTAACTGGACATAATATTCACAGGTTTACAGTATATTAATTTATAGTTGAGCACTAAAAATGTTTTTTTTAGCCACATGCACAGTCTGTAGGTATTTATTTAAGTTTTGGATACGAATTAACTTCAGAGATACTGATGATCAAAATACAGTAAAATATTGCAAACGATGCAATAATTGGTATTTTTATTATATAATATACATTATAAGTTGATTTAATTTAACAGATACCCCAAACTGAAAACACTACCTATAAAATGTAGATTTGAAACACATAAAATAGATCAATAATGTAAACTTGCATAAAAAATATTTTAAGATTGGATTCAAAATTTGGCCACAACAGTATTAATATATTCACTTGCTACTGGAACGTGTGTGTGTGTGTGTGTGAGAGAGAGAGAGAGAGAGAGAGAGAGAGAGAGAGAGAGAGAGAGAGAGAGAGAGAGAGAGAGAGAGAGAGAGAGAGAGAGAGAGAGAGAGAGAGAGAGAGAGAGAGAGAGAGAGAGAGAGAGTGAGAGAGAGAGAGAGAGAGAGAGAGAGAGAGAGAGAGAGAGAGAGAGAGCACCTTTTATGCATCCAGTGTTTACAGTATGAGCCGCCCAGCTGTTGCATTCAGTTATAAATCACACAGTGCACAACCAAACATGATGGCAGCACATGTTCTTCAAACATTTCAGAGCTTCAAAACTTTTACAGAATGTTTGGAAAATGTGAGTCGGTGGATGCATGATGAAAATGTAAACTAATAGAATACCAAAATATTTAAATAAACTCATCCGTTTCCCATTTAATACACTGATAAGCTGTCCACATTCAAAGTGATTTTTAACTAATAATAATACTATTGTAAAGATTGTAAACAAATGTCACAAATAATAAATATGGAAAGATTATAGAGGAACTCAACCTAAAACTTTAGACCTCTTCTCCAAGTGTTATTTCTAAGGCCTATATTAGAATATATGGAAATATGAAATATGGATCTCAAAATCATCACTGCTGGAAAGGGTTCAAATCGGTTCAAATATGCAAAAGATGCTGGAAAACTGAATAATTTGCAGGACCTGAAGGATTTTTCTGAAGAACATTAGGCAGTTTAACTGCTCTAGACAAACAAGGGACTCAAGAACAACCATCACAAAACAAAACAGTCGTGGACTCGTGGATCATTCAGGTAAGGACACACAGTAAGAATCAATATGTAAACTTTTGTTTTGAACAGGGTAATTTTTATAAATTCAGCTATTTTTTGTCTTGTGGATATGTAAACATATTTTATGTAAAAGATCTTATTCAGGACAGTACTAAATAAAAAATATGCATTTTTTATGATCCCTCTTATTTTGTAAAAAAAATATATATATATTCGTATTTTCACAGATTCTGAAAGGAGTATGTAAACTTTTGAGCACAACTGTAGCGCTCGTGCATATTTACTCATTTCTATACAGCTTCTGCTGCGACAGAAATAACTTAAATTGCGAAATTTCTGTTAGAGATCGTTGTCTCAAAGTAAAACCCAAATGATAAAATGACCTCGTTCGCCGGATGAGAGTGGCTGCTTTGTTCTCATTATAGGTGCTACCTGAGGCGCGCATACCTTTCCCACGCGTGGATGCAGTGAAGTTTGGACATGTCTTTGCTTGCTTGCGTGGTGCATTGCACTGTTTTCTTGATCTGAATATGTTTAACTACCAATCAAGTTAACCAAAACATTTAAGAATGAACATTAAACTAATCTTAAGAAATCTTGAACGACTATCTGCGCGTGGAGGTCTTTTGTCAAGAAAAGAAACACTTGACGCGCATTTTTCCCTCGCATAAGTTAATATAAAATACTGCTCTTGCAAATTCGTTTTATTTATGTAGCCTATATATACCTTGTTTGCAATCGCAGTACCCCCAGTCAATGCGTCCTCGGCTGTTTGGGAAGAAACACCAGGGCCGAATTCTTCCGTCCGGGTTCCGACAGAAACTGTGATCTCCAAGACCTTTCCCCGGATATCGCTCTTTAACACCGGGCACGTCGTTCCAGTTCATGCATTTCACGCCTGACTCGGTGGCGTCTATAGATCCCACGTAAATGCCCGCTTTCCCTTTGCTTTGAATACAGTCTGTGAACGGAGACCCGTGACTGCAGGCGATGAGCAGCAGGGTGAAAAGGAACCGACATCTCACATCCATCACGATCAACCTGTCTGCCACTGTCACCATAACCATAACAATAACAGTTCCTCCTCCAGTCTATATGGAGACATGTTCCTTGAGTTGTCTCATCTTGTCTTTTGGCTGTTATCGGAGAATCAGAGTCAGACGCTGATCAATAAAGGAGAAACCGCGCGGGGAAGCCCGGGGCTTAATGACTCATGCATATTGATGATTGAGTCAGATTTGAAGTAAAAAAAAAAAAAAAAAAAATGATGTCCTTCATTAAAGAGCGTGAAGGTGCAAAATATACCAAATAGTAGGCTACAAGACAAATTAATTGTTAAAAATTCCTCTACAAAATATAGTCAGGACAGCACTTCTGGGAGATGGTCCACGAATGTACGCCCGCACCGATCCTCCCAGAATGTGAACTCAAACGAGTCTGCCACGTTCAGTTAACTCATGTCTGGTCTGGTGTGGTCATCACTGTTGTTTTCTCCGAGGCTCCGCCGCTCCGGTGTGAAATATACTGTTCAGGCATGATCGCATTGACCAACGGCCGTGACAAGAATTGTTCATGTCTGCCCTCTTGTGTCAGTAAAATAATAACTGCTCCAGAATAAAACAGACATAAATACTCCAGAAACGTGTTTTCTGTTTCAATAGCCTATTATAAAATCTCATTATGGCAAAGCTGAATTTGTTGCAGCCATATACTCAGTCTTCAGTGTCACATGATCCTTCAAAAATCATTCTAATATGCTGATTTTGCTGCTCAAAAACATTATCAATGTTGAAACCCGGTTTTGCTGCTTAATATTTTTGTGGAAAGAAAAAAAATGCATGCGATAAGTAAGAAAAGAAAAAGAAAGAAATAGGCCTATTTATTTACAGCAAGGACCTATTAAATTGATCAAAAATGACAGTGAATACAATTTATGATGTTACAAAAGATTTTTATTATTATTTCAAATAAATGCTGTTCATTCATCTTCTCTGTGGTAACAGCTCTTTTAGAGATTGAAGGTTTTCTAATGTTTTCCGTAAACAAGATAAACTTTAAAACGTTCAGTGTGATTTAAAAACATTCTATCACGCCATTATACTTCTTTATATTTTTAAAAAGGAAAATTAAATTTATTTGAATTCAAATAAAGTTATTCTAGCATCGCGCTACAATATGTGGAAGAAAAAAAATAATTTTTACAAAAGTCGAAATTAATGTACGAAATTGGGATTTAAAAACATTTTTTTAAAGATAAAACATGATCGCAACATAATAATATAATTAAGCCGAAAATGCAATAAATCTTAATAAATCAATACGCAATATTTTAACTTCAAAAGAAAGTATCAGCCGTTTACTGACGTCATAGTATGCGTCTGATGATGTAAAATACGTGCGACTGCTTCTCACGTTGAGGTTTTCGATGAATTTTTTTGCCTCACTTTTGTTTCATCAAATAATTGTATGAGAATTTTTTTTCCCCTGCAAAATATTATTGTCATGAACAGCCGGCTGCAAGAAATACGTGAAAGGCAGAAGCTAAGACGGCAGCTTCTTGCACAACAGGTGAACTTTTTAGCTTACTGCATAAAGCCAGTGTTAGCGAGTATTGGCAAACCCAATGCTTTTAGACTTATGAATAAATACAGATAGCTTTGTTGATGTTAATGATTTGTTTTGCAGCTCGGGGCAGAGAGTCCCGATAGCATCGGTGCTGTTCTCAATAGTAAAGATGAACAAAAAGAAATCGAAGAGACCAGAGAGACATGCAGGTACTGAAAATATGTTTGTTTGATTGTTTTGATCAACTGTATTGATATGGCAACATTTACACGAAGCACAAGTCAGATTCGTGACAATAAGGATGGGGGTAATCTGTGTTATGTTTACTGTAGGGCATCATTTGACACATCAGTTCCTGGTGGGAAAAGAAAGTGTCTGAATGAGGGTGAAGAACCAGAGGAGGATGTGGAGGAGCAGAGGGTGAGTGAGCACTGATCAGGAATCAGCTGTAATTTCAAAATTCTGTTTAGATCAGGGCAGGGCTGTAGGTAACTGATCCTGGATCTGCTGTATGGTGTTACAGGAAGATGTTGAGCCCCAGCTGCAGGAGGAGAGCGGACCGTATGAAGAGGTGTACAAAGACTCCAGCACTTTCCTAAAGGTAGAGTTAAACACAATAATATATTATTTACATAACAATAACATGCTAGTAGTACAATGGGACTTTGTGCAAAATCTTACATTATGTTGGTGATTGATTTTTAAAGTCTCTGTGAAATCAAAATCGACTATTTTCTCATGGGATATTACAGGTTTTGTTTTTGTGTGTGTTTTTTTTACCATTGCTAGCACATATTTTGGTTACTTTTTCAAAACTCTTCACTCAGTTCTCCTAACCAACTTTCAGCTTGGCACATCAGTTCATTTCACATCCAAAATGCACTAAAACAACCAAAACACTTCATGCATGTCTTAAATCATAACACTAGCAAAGGTTTCACTCAACGAACACACTTTGTCACTCAATGATATAAAAAAATAAACTCTTAACAACAGGCAACACAATGATTTATTTGATAAAAATGTTTTATAAAACTGAATGACAGATCTCTACTATTTAGAATTCACTGCAGTTTGTTACATGGTCCATGTTTACATTACAGAACAAATTTATTCTTAAATAAATTATAGTCACCCTTGGTATAGGAGATGGTTATGAAATTGAAAGATAGATTTGGTAGATTTAGAATATATTTCTATATGGTATTACTGTAGAAAAGTAGCAAATTACAGTCTTGTTCAGTTTTGGAAATCAAGTTTAGCAGTTTTGATAGGAGTATGTAAATGTGCAAATTGGCCTGTATGCACATAGAGTTTTGGTGGTGGTTGTGTCTGAGTGAGAAAAATAATTCATGTAATTTGAAAGATGTAGTCACTGAATTCATTTTGTGACTAAAGCAATGATAAATGATCCAAAGAGTTGCCCACATAGACTATTGTTGTGCTCAGTGTGTGAAGAGTTTTGAAAAACGAACCAAAGTTATAAATTATCTATGCACATCTCTCTCTTTTTTTCCTCATGCCCTTGTAATCTTCAATCAAAATAACTTCCCCTCCCACTTGCAAAAACTACAATTCAATCAATTCCCAATGGACAAAATCAAGTCTCGCCCTACATTTTTTCTTGTCCTAGAAGCCATTTCACTCAGATGTATTTTACAATAGGGAAGGAAAGACTATCCCAACTCCTGTTTCATGCCAACTTCAACAATAATGTCATTACAAGCTGTTTTTTTTATTATAAATATCAAGATATCATCACTCTCTGTTTTACAGGGCACTCAGAGTTTAAATCCCCACAATGATTACTGCCAGCACTTTGTGGACACAGGTCATAGACCTCAGAACTTTATCCGAGATGGAGGTAAATGGTCCAATCTCTTTCTGTTTTGTTTTTTTCTCCTTGTCTCCCTCTTTCATGCCCAGCTGTGAGATCATGTTAACCTATGTTCTGTTGTCCTGTAGGTTTGGCTGACAGGTTTGAGGAGTACCCCAAACAAAGAGAGCTCATCCGACTAAAAGATGAGCTCATCTCTGCCACCAACACCCCACCCATGTGAGAACACCTGCTGTCTCTACAAAATAGAGCAGATGTCTAATTGGCCTTTTTTAAAACCAATTTCAGTTATATATTTTTGTATGTATGTTTAAGAAAAATGGGGTCCAAACCTTTGAGACCACATTGTAAATATAAACTAAAAAAAAAAAAAAAAAAATTAAACAGATTAAAAAACAAATGATTTTAAGATTTTCAATTTGGAAAGCATATAAATAAATATATAAATTAGAAGCATTTCACTAGGAGACTTTTGGATTCCATTGTATGTCTCATTTGCATGTACAGTATATACTATGAATATATGGATGTGTTTTGTGTGTCAGGTATCTGCAGGCAGATCCAGACACATTTGATCTGAGAGATTTGAAGTGCAAGTTTGATGTGATTCTGATAGAGCCTCCATTAGAGGAGTATTACAGAGAGTCGGGCATCATTGCCAACGAGCGCTTCTGGAACTGGGACGATGTGAGTTATTGCAAATTCTCTAAAAATTATATATATGCATGTATGTTTATTTAATTATTTATTTATTTATTTTATGTCTGATATAGATCATGAAGCTGGACATAGAGGAAATCTCATGTATTCGCTCTTTTGTTTTCCTGTGGTGTGGCTCAGGAGAAGGCCTTGATCTTGGCCGAATGGTACAAACCTCACAATCACACACAGCGTGGCATATTTCGGTTTGTTGCAAAAGATCACCTGCGTTAATCATGACTGGGTTCCCACGGGTCCTTGAAATCCTTGAAAGTTTGTGAATCTGAAAAAAAAAAATTCTGCTATGAAAGTGCTTGAATTTACGTTAAGTGTTTCCCGCGTGAAGTACTTTGTGTTGTACGTTTCCATGACTTTAACGCACGCACGAAACTACTACGATAGTACCTCAACATTTTAGGACACAACAAATGGGTTCCCACATTAAGTCCTTCAATTTGAGGGTATTAAACCTGGAAAGTCCTTGAAAGGTTCTTGAATTGAGGTCCTACTGCATTACCTGCCCACAAACAAATATGCTTCATTACAGTCATTGTCTATGAGTCTTGCAAACTATATTTTAACATCTTTCTCTCTTCTCTCTCAGTGTCTGAGGAAATGGGGCTTCAGGCGATGTGAAGACATTTGTTGGATCAAGACTAACAAAAACAACCCTGGTAAGACCAAAACGCTGGACCCCAAAGCAGTGTTCCAGAGAACTAAGGTAAGAGCTGTGGCAAGCCACAACATTGTTGGCACTAACAATTGTTTCCAGTTGGAAATGCTTTTATTTTTTCTTCTCTGATGTCACTCAGGAACACTGTCTGATGGGTATCAAAGGCACAGTTAGACGCAGCACAGATGGCGATTTCATTCATGCTAATGTGGATATAGACCTGATCATCACAGAGGAGCCAGAGATGGGTAATATTGAGAAGCCAGTGGAGATTTTCCACATCATTGAACATTTCTGCCTGGGCCGTCGACGGCTGCACCTGTTTGGCAGGGACAGCACCATTAGGCCAGGTTAGATATTAGCCTATGGGTCATCCATTCATTTTTTTACGAAAAAATCCACATTTTTAAATGGTAGTGTATGTTTATTCTGATCTAATGTTATGCTTCTTCTTTTTTATCAGGATGGCTGACTTTGGGCCCTACCCTGACCCAATAGCAACTTCAATGTGGAAGCTTACTCCACCCACTTCAGTGAGCCCAACTCTTACTTGTCTGGTTGTACTGAAGAAATTGAGAGACTCCGCCCCAAATCCCCAACTCCTAAATCTATGGCAGAGAGAGGTGGGGGAGCACAACGAGGAGGACGGGGCGGTCCTTCTGGACGAGGGGATCGAGGTCGAGAGAGAAACCGCCCAAACTTCCGTGGAGATCGAGGGGGATTCAGAGGCCGTGGCGGCCCACATCGTGGATTCCCACCCCGATAGTGCACGACGTGCCAACTTTGAGACTGAAAACAGAAAATGTGATGTGTCTGATATTTTTGTACCTGACATTTGAAAAGGTGTTGTTCCAATTTGTATTGTTTTTTTAGTTTATTATGTAAGAGGTTAAGAGCGGGAATGAATTTTAATGTCATACTAACTCGATTCTTTCTGAATGACTTCTGTTAAGTCACATTTGTAAGAATTGTATTCAACCTCAATAAAACAGTTTTTTTAATGAAAATTTTAAAGCATTCATTTTTGTTTGTTTTTACATTTGCACATTACTTGTATCATCTTATGTGTGTTTTATGCATCTCATCTGATCAACAGAGGGCCTCTCCTGCCATGTGCAAACTTCCTGTGTGTCCTGTGGAGGGCAGCAAGGTTTTATGATCTGTGTCAAAGAAGCTCATTGATTCTGTCAGTAATAACATGTAGAATTACTGGTTTGCCGTAAACCCATTTTTTTATGTTTTTACTTTACATGTGATTGGTTTGTGGTGGGGAACTGCCCATCATGAGAAACATAACATGGCACTATTTCGAATTTATTGAGGCTAGTTGTAACTTCAGACTGCTTTGCATTCATTTATACTTGGTATTAAGACTGAAGGGGTTGCAACTTAAATGCAGCATACTGGACAACAAGCCTGAAATTCGTCATGAAATGGAAGTTGAAATCGTGACCTATATCCAAGTGAAATGGCTTCTTGAACACGAAAATAAATGTAGGGGTGAGAGTTAATTTTGTCCATTGGAAATTGATTTGAAGGGAATGTAGTTTTTTATTAAAGATGACCAGGGCGTATGAATAAAAAAAAAAAAAATTATATGCACTGATAAATAATTTATAAGAACTGCTACAATATTCCATTTTTAAAAAACAAGATTTTTACATTTCAATTTCACAAAAAATTTGAAAATTCAAAATGGAAGGCAATATTCTTCTTAATGAACAAAATAAAACCATGAGTCTGATACTAGTTAGAACAGTGGTTCTCAACCAGGGGCCCTGTATAATAGGGGGCCTAACGAAAATTTTAAATAAAACAAGCAATAATTTAAGGAAAAAACTGCTAAATTTAAGATATTTCATATTTTAATTCACCCCCTCAAAAACTTTTTTTTTTGAAGAACCAGGGGTTCCCACTAGATAGATTTAAATTTATATTTAATTCATCTTTAGTGTGGTTTATAACCTTTTATCTTTAAAAAATGTCATGTCAATTAATAAAATCTATCTACATCATTATTATAATGAATATACATCTTTCTTGTAATGCCAAGCTTCAAAATATTTTATTGGGTAGAAATTGTAATTAAAAGAATAAAAAAATAAAAAAATCCTTATCCCTAATCCTTATCCTGTAAATCACGAACAACTAAAAAATCATGGGATCTTTGAATATTGTTGTGGACAATGTACATTATCAAAAAAATGTTGAGTCAAAAAGGTTGAAAATTCGAAAAACCAATGAGTTTGAATCCTTATGAAAGATCTTCTCAAAGAGCTCGGAGTTTTTCAAATTACACAGAGTATTTAAAAAAACACCATACCTTCACAAACAGTGGCAGAATATGATTGTACTTTTATTTACAATTGATCAAATATACAATAACTAGTTATACAATAACTAGTTATTGTATAGTTATACAATAACTAGTCAAATATACAATAACTAGCTTTAGCATTGGTTTCTGGCCTGATTTAGTTGCAACATTACACGAATGAATGTAACAGCATCTTCTATGCCATCAGAAATGTGGGTCAAGTGCATGTTCTGATGTAATTAGCACATGAAGAATACATACATTTGCATACATTTGCCATAACTGTTATTACAGCATGCATGAAAGGTATTTTAAACTGCTGTTGCTGAAAGGATTTTAAGCTGCAATTGTATTCCACAATCATTACGTAAGTGTCTCTTTTTGTCTAACTCTAAGTTTTCAATTTTAAGTGATACATCAATTAGTGCAACGTGATAGAAAGAAGTGGGATTTTACTTTTCTACGCAATCACTCTTAGAATATTCACCTGGTGGATTATTTCTATAGGTACTAAAATATCAGAGAGTCTGTGGTGGGCTCTTTTGACTTGTCCTAGTAAGCAATCAGTGATTCCCCAGAACAGAGATTTTAAACTTGACCCTGGAGGCCTCAAAGGGATGCTACGCTAGTTGTTGTTTTTTGTAAAAGAATAAATAATAATAATGTGAAAAATATCACAGCCTACATTCACACACTGATCAGATAAGGCCTATGAGAGACTAATCCTAAATCGAAGAAATCTGAAGCTGAAACAGCAGTGGAGCTGATGTAGTGTCACTCACTGGACACACTGATCTGTTCCACTTCCTGAGGCATTGAGATGTGGGTTAATGAGGAAAAAGAAGATGTGTATTTATTTACATTACTAATTCAGTACACAGTCAGACACACATGGAAATGTACACACACCATTATTAATTAAGCAGTCTCACTGTGTTTGTTCCACTAATCTGAAGTTAAAGCAACAAAGGATTATTTTCAATGAGATTGACAGATCTCATCACTAATTAAAAGTCAACTGATGACAGTAGAGACCAATCAGATGCTGCATGGGTGGGGCTTAATTAGACTCAGCTGCAGCTGATTGGCTGGCAAGGTTTAGAATAAACCATCAGTTCTTCAAAGAAGTGACTGGAAACTTCTGACACAACCGGTGTAGTTTGTTTCGGTGCTAATGTCGGGGTAACTGAGGGAGACTGGGCTCAGAACGGATTTGAGACCAAAGCAATAAATAATTCAGCATGATGAATGCAAACGTCAGCATGAGAGGGTTTCAAATGTTACCCAGAAGTCAGTTCTTTAACTAAACTCCAGTGAATGACAGCATCTCAGTCATGTAAAGAAGTGGGTAATAGATATAAACACACTTCCAAATGAACATATATGACTATGTGCTATCTTACACACCTCTTTCTTAACTCAAACCTGTTAGTGTACTATTCACTGTATCTGTGTGTGTGTGTGTGTGTGTGTGTGTGTGAGAGAGAGAGAGAGAGAGAGAGAGAGAGAGAGAGAGAGAGAGAGAGAGAGAGAGGAGAGAGAGAGAGAGAGAGAGAGAGAGAGAGAGAGAGAGAGAGGAGAGAGAGAGAGAGAGAGAGAGTAATGATGAGCTGCTTATAGCTAGCTGACTATATCTGTATACAGAAGATTCACACTCTGTTGACAAGAACAAATGTTTGATACAAGATCTGAGAGAGAGAGAGAGAGAGAGAGAGAGAGAGAGAGAGAGAGAGAGAGAGAGAGAGAGAGAGAGAGAGAGAGAGAGAGAGAGAGAGAGAGAGAGAGAGAGAGAGAGAGAGAGAGAGAGAGAGAGAGACCGAATGTGAGACAAGGGGGACAGACAGATAGAGAGAGGGCTCCTAATCTCACACTCTGCTCTCATATTCATACCTGTTGCTGAGCTGACTGCGCTTACATTATGAGAGGTACGTATTAAAATTTTATTAGAATTAGATGTTTCTAATTTAAACATGGTAATAAGCAAGCAGTAACAGAATTTTGACATTTAAAAACAAAAGAAATGTTATGGTGTAAAATAAATAAGAAATATTTAAGAGACTGCACTATTTCAGGTCACAGGTTCTAGTGGTCTCAGGCTTTTGGAGCCAATTATAGTTTCACACTTCTTCAGGGTTGGTAAGATTTCTTAATGGTTTTGAAAAAAGTCATTTCTTTTCTCACTAACGGTGCAGTTTGATCAAAAATACATAAAAAACGGTATTATTGTAAAATACATTTATGATTTATGATTTAAAAATAAAATCTTTCTATTTTAATATATTTTTTTTGAAAATGGCAAAGCTGAATTATCAGCAGCCATTCCTCCAGTCTTCAGTTTCACATGATCCTTCAGAAATTATTTTAAGCTGATTCGTTGCTCAAGAAAAATTACTTACAGTTGAAAACGGTTGTGGAAGCTGTGATCGTTTTTTGAGGATTACTTAATGAATATAAATTTCAAAAGGACAGCATTAATTTAAATATATATATATATGTGTGTGTGTGTGTGTGTGTGTGTGTGTGTGTGTGTGTGTGTGTGTGTGTGTGTGTGTGTGTGTGTGTGTGTGTGTGTGTGTGTGTGTGTGTGTGTGTGTTTGTAGCAATGTAGAAGTTTAACTGTCACTTTTGATAATAAGTGAAACACAAACAGGTTTTATGTCTAACCGTCACATTAGCTCCAATATTAGACTGTTCTCGACCTGCTGGATTATTCTGATAACATCAATACTGATGCCTGTACTGAGATCAGTTTGCCAGGGCTGCCCTATTTCACCGTTTTTGTTCCTGCTGGTGGTTGAATTATTGTCATTACATATTAAACATAGTCCTATTGTTAAAGGATTGTCTATTTTTGGTAAGGAAATCAGAGTAACTGCGGATGATACAGCTCTCTTTTTGAGTGACAAACATCAGATTGATAATGCTATAACTCTAAATTGACCAATTCTCTGCTGCTTCAGGTTTAAAGCTTAACAAATCTAAATGTGAAATCTTATGCCTGTATACCAGACTGATGAGTAAAAAAAAATTAACTTACCTGTTAAGAAATGTGTAAAATATTTAGGTATTCATATCTGTAAGGATCACAAGGAACGTCAACAACTAAACTTTTCAGCTAAATTGAAAAAAAAACCTAAAACAATTCTAAATTTATGGCTTCAAAGAGATATTTCAATTTTAGGAAGGATTCTTTTGACTAAAGCAGAAGGCATTTCAAGATTTGTTTATCCTGCTCTCTCTCTTAATGTTCATGATTCAATATGTAAAGATTTAAATACCATATTTACGAATTTTGTGTGGAAAAACAGACACCATCATTTAAAAAAAGCGGTGCTCTCTGGTTCTAGGATGAAGGTGGATTTGAACTTTTGGACTTTTGTGACTTAAATTATACCTTTAAGGTGAAATGGTTGAAGGAATGTTTGAGAGCACCTGAGTCCTGATGGTACTTTATCCATACCTGTCAAGTATCCCGTTTTGGCCGGGAAAGTCCCGTATTTAACCCTTCTTTCCCGCCGTCCTCCCGTATTAGGATTTTCCCGTAAATCTCCCGTATTTTTGCATTATTGAAAAATAATAATACCGCGGGCGGAGTAAAAAAAAAAAAAAAAATCCAATCTGAGCTGTCACTAGCCTCGCGATAACTAACGTTCCAGGTACTGTAGGTGGCAGTTGTCGCGATGTTAGTTTGTGAGGTCAGATGATGAGTGACAACGCGGGGCAAACAAAAAACAAACAAAAACAGAGACGGATGATGGACGCCATGACAGAGCAAGGTACTCTTGCCAAAAAAACAAAACCCTCATGTACTAAATACCGCGATCGATCAATGGGATAGCGAATTTACTTTTCTGAAGAGGAGCAGGGTAGGGGACAGTCACGCGTTTTGTAAGTTTTGTAACTGCGACTTTAGTATCTCACACGGGGAAGGAATGATGTATGTCAACACGAGAAAGGGTGATTTAGCATGGTACGAAAGATTGTTACACAGAATAGGATGACGTTAGACAACAGAACTGTTTGCTCTACTCTCATGTAAAATTAACCACTCTGGCCCAGCCCACAAATACACTCCTTCCAAAACAGGTAATTACAAAGTCTGCAACAATTTTTTTTCCAATAACTCACTAAAAGAGTAAAGAAAAGTTATGTGAAATGAAAAGAAAAACTGCAAATGAAAAGAAAAACTGTAAAAGAAAAGCAATATGAAATGAAAATGTGTGGAATGAAAATAAAATGTAAATGTAAAGACAAGCAATGTTAAATGAACAGAAAATATGCAAATAATCCTTTAAATAAATGCTCTTAATACCCTATAACGTTACCATACATAGGCCTATTAAGACAGGTGTTATAGCCTAAATGAAAAAACACACACACACATATATATATGTGTGTGTGTGTGTGTTTTCATTTAGGCTATAACACCTGTCTTAAAATGTAAGGGATACTGGAGCTTGGTTGGGGTGGTGGGACTGCTCGCGGTGGGTGCCGGAAAATTTCCCTTATTTTCAAATCTAAAACTTGACAGGTATGACTTTATCCCCAACAACATTTCTAATAGTGTAGGAGGCCTAAAATTTTCATTGAAATGTGACTATAATATTACAAGATTGCCGCTAAAACTATCCCATTTTTATCAACAAGCTCTTTTGGCCTGGAAGCTGTGTCATTCTCACAACTTCTCTCCACATAAGTCCATCGTTTGGCATAATGAATGCATCACTAAAGGGAACAAGTCACTCTATTTGCAGAAATGGATCGATAGAGATATAATTTTTTTAAAAGACCTTTTTGATGGTAATAATCAATTACTTAACTATGAATCTTTTCTCAGGGAGAAGGCATTCCCAATAACGTTCAAAGAATATAACTTGGTTTTCAAGTCTCTATACCTAATGGTATATAGAATTAATGAAAAGTTATAATAAACAAAACGAAGTGCCTGGTATTAATTTGACTCTTTATATAAACGTTATGGATGTTATGAGTAGCAACTGTACTAATAAGCATATCAGAAAATGTTTTCTAAATTTAAAGAAAATAACACCTCGTGGGGAATTTTTCTGGAATTCGCATTTTTCTGAGATTAATTGGCATAGGGCGTGGCTTGTTCCTTTTAGATTTTGTATCACAAACAAAGTTAGGGAATTACATTTGAAAATATTACATAATATATATCCCACAAACTTGTTTATTTCAAAATTTAAACCTGTTGATAATCTTTGTAGTTTTTGTAAGACAGAACAAGAATCGTTAACTCATCTTTTTAATGGTTGTTCATTTTGCATTACATTTTGGAAAAATGTTGAAAGTTATGTGACATTTAAAACAAAGAATACAATAACGCTTGAAGGGAAACAGATTATTACATAATTTGATTGTAGAGATAGAACTTTATGTAATATTGTAAATCTCTTTATTTTACTAGGCAAGTTCCATATTCATAAAGCTAAATTTTCCAAGTCAAGGCCATGTTTTAAACTTTTAAACTTAAAAAAAAAATTAAAAAAAAATTATATAAATAATGAAGATTGTAAGTCTGTCTATTTAATTTTTTATTTTTTTATTCATTAATTTCATTCTTGTATTTATTTATTGTTCGTTGTATAATATTTGTTTACGAACTGTGATGCTTGTATGTTTGTAATTTAATTTCTAATAAAAAAAACTGTCACTTTTGATCCTTGCTGAATAAAAGTATTATCTTTCAGAAGAAGAATAAAAAAGTCTCACTGACCCCAAACTTTTAGACAGTACAGTGGTGTTCAAAACTCCACATTGAAAATCAGTTAAAATTCTTGAGATTCCACTAAAATTCTGATTTAAACCAAGCAATTAACGAGAAAGAAATAAAGGAAGAAAGATTATGACATAAAATGAATAAGAAATAATTAAGATTCTCCACTATTTCACTGTTCTAGTGGTCTGTTTGGCCAGACCCAACTGTATATTCATATATAGCCTTCAACTGTATACTGAATATTATTTTGCATACAGAGTGAAAATACTATGTATACATAATGCTGTCAAATAGAATAAAATGATGATCCCTGTTGTATCATGTAGGCCGTAAAGACCGAACTACCGGTATACTGTGTGAGAAACCCTATTCAGTGTGAAGTTGACACGGAATGTTAATTACAAAGTTAAATAATTGGCTTTTATATTGTCACAGCTGAAAACTCCTAGTTTAAATAATGTGTGTAAAATAATAATAAATGATCTATGATACACCCTAATTCAGTATTTATTCACAGAACGTGGCTCTATAAGAATGGTTAAACAGACTCTTAACTCCACACTGGACTCAGATCTGCCTGATGTCACATCACTGAACTTACTGGATCGAGAATCCACTCCTAAGAATAAAGCACACACTCCAGAGTCTCCCAAGGACCCTATGAGAAAAGTATGTGTTCAGTCCCTTAAAAAGAGGGTCACTGCAGTGTCTGCAGAAAGGAACAGAGTCAGGATGGAGAGAGGGGGGGCACCTTTGGGATTCCCCGACTCTGTGTACTTTCATGCTGCAGCTATTTTCCAGAAAAATCATGTGGAGAAAGACCTCGCACACAGACTCATTCGCTATGGGCACATCAGTCCCGGTGGAGATGATGATGATGATGATGATGATGATGATTCTGGGATTGTCGACGACAGTGATGCCAACACCAAGCAGAATGAGCACTGGGCATATGAGCTGGCATTTAACACCCTGAAATGTAAGTGAAAAATAAAGCCAGGCCTCAAAACCAAAGTTTGTATGATTATCAGGATGAGAATTGCTTTTCCTTTAAAATATCATATTTCAGTATTCTCCTTCAGCTTAAAACTGGGCTTTACCTGCCTGATCTTGTATGAGAAACAACAATACAATTAAGTATTTGGTAGGAATGTAAATATCGTAAAGTGATGAGATTTAGACAGCACAAGAATCTAACGTGTCCAGTTTATCTTGATTGTTTTTGGAGTGTGCAGTTAATGTCCCTGTGGTCACTGATGTCATGCTATTTGTGGCCCACAAATCTTTAACATCAATTATTCAGTTCCTCAGATACAGGACTCAAAGGTGCAGTTGGAAACAGATGAAGAGTCATAAACGTATAATACTATTACCCAGAATTCCACAGTTATTTCCTATCCTGTCCGACAGTAGCTACTGCAGAGGAGAGTTTTTTCCTTTTTCTAATGTTGTAGAAGAGACTGGAGTTGGTTGTCACACTTTTTATTCTTTGGTGGTTTCTGAATGAAACTTGAAGTAATTAGTCAGTGTGGCAGATTATTTCCAAAATATTGTTAAAATTCTTAATTTATATTGACCTAAAATGTATTACTTTTTAACTCAACATTTTTATTTACATTTTTATTGCCAGCTTTAAACAATATTGCATTATCCACATGTTTATGATTTGGGGGGAAATGTAATAATTAAAAAAATTCCCCACTGAGGGGTTGGGGGGGGGGGGGGCGTGTCTACAAGATAAAATATGGACAATTTAACAATCTACAAATAAGAAAGTTTCATTGTATTGCTTCTAAAGTTTTACAGTATATCATAAAGAAAATGTAGATTTGAAGATATAATAGACTGACTTTCAGGGTGTGGTTCAGTGCCTGAAAAAAAGAAGTCTCACACTCTCCATACTCTCCATAGAAGTAATTTATTTTCCTCTGACCTCATCTTTCAATGCCTTCCCCCCTCTTCTTTCGATGACTGAAGTCCTGAATCAATCATTTGGGGATGTCTGGTCACATTCTGGTTGGGTTTCTGACTCATTCCTCTCTCTCTCTCTCTCTCTCTCTCTTTCTCTCTCTCTCTCTCTCTCTCTCTCTCTCTCTCTCTCTCTCTCTCTCTCTCTCTCTCTTCCTTGCTCTGCTTTGCCCTCACTTTCTCAAACTTTTTGCTTAGGGGAGGCTTTTTTTTACTTTTTTTCTTTTTTAAGGACATCTATTTGCTTTTAGTGCAGTCAGGTCAGACATCAGTTCACTGACTGCTGTAGCACTTTAATGGCTGCGCTGAGCTGTGAGCATGAGGTCAGTTCATATTCGCAGTCAGTTCTATCATCCAGAAACACAGACAACAAATGATTTAAATTTATATATTCAGATAAGATTAGACATAAGCGTATCAGTCTTGTTTATTTTACAATATGTTAAAGGGTCAAATCTCTCTCTCTCTCTCTCTCTCTCTCTCTCTCTCTCTCTCTCTCTATATATATATATATATATATATATATATATATATATATATTTTAATTTTTTCGCAATTTGTTTAAAAAGGTCCCTTTTTTCTTGTTCCGAGCTTAAATCTAAAAATAATCTTAGATCTAAGAAAAAAAGGCATTTTCCTCCCCAAACTTTTTGGAAGAAGTAATATTTTACAAGACATAAATTCTGATTATTTTTATTTTAAAAGGATTCATTGCTAAAAAAAAAAAAAAAAAAAAAAAAAAATCAGTTTTAAATTCAACTCACATTCATTCTTTTTGAAATTCAGTTAGCCATGTCTGAGTTGGAATCCGGCTATTTTTAAATTAATTTCTCAGCAAAACTGATGTAACTCACACATCAGTTTTGCTGTTTGGTATTTTAGGATCTCTGGAGTATATTGCTGGGTGTTTTGCTCCCCACTACATGTCTTCATATTATGGTGTTGAATTACAACTAACCACTGTAGTATAGCAGTGATATCATAGCATAGTGATGCTCTACTTCATCTTCTACAGCTAAATATCACAAACTCTCTCCTGCTACCATCACAGACCAAGATCTACTGGAGGAGATCCTGACTGACAGCTACTTTTACCGTTCTCAGCAAATGGTGGGTCTGTTGACATATGCCCTTTTGTGTTGGTATCAGGATTGACTTTGATGTGTTTGATGTGTGAGTTTGTGTTTATGTTCAGCCAGATGACCTCATGGCTCTTGTGATGGTCGTACTCTATGACCTCCTGGACAGGAAGTTCGAGCCCAGAGAGCCAATCAAAAGAGTAGAGGAAGGACTTATAAAAGAAGTGAGACAGGTGGAGGACAGCCTTTATAGGTCAGTATGAGCAGGTCTGCCCTGTGAAAATTCATCCTTTATAAAGTTATACTGAATCATGTTCTGTGAATCCCATGTATGGAGTGAAAAATCTCAACTGTCTCTCCTACACTGCAAGGAATATTTTCTGAGAAAAATGTGTCCATAAATTTCAGAAATATTCTCAACAAAGATTTTGATGGATGCCTGTTTCCTCAGAGTTTTATATATCTCAAAAATGTGATTTCGACTTTCTGTCCTCCAACTGTGACTTTTTATAATGTGACCTCATATTTAGTAATTATGACTATTTTTTAACTCTGAAGTAGAAATAGAATTTCCATAGATTAGAACTCATACTTTATTAATTTTATTTTTAAAGGACTAAATTACCTGGGTTGTTGTAAACATTAATTTTATAGCTCTGTCAAAATAATTGTCCCATTTTTATCGCTCCTAAAACGAGTTTTGGGAAGAGCATCCGAGGCTAAGATAATACTTAAATCAAGCACATCTGAGAACTCCAATAAATGTCCTGAACTTCAAATAAAATAAAAACTTTACCATAGGTCTTTAAAGACATTGGACCTTATAAATGGTGCTTGTATATTTGTGTTTATCAGGTTCAAGACCAAACTGGAAGCCTCACTGGCTCAGTGCAGAATAAAGCAGAATTTGCTGACAATTGACAGTTACCTGCCTCCAGCTGTGAGGGCTAAACAACAAAGATCACAGACAGTACCGATCTATGCCTGGGTCAACACCCTCAAAGCCAGGTAGTGTGTGTTTGTGTGTATGTACACAAATGTATTCTTCTTATTTAATATATACACCACCTGATATATATTGTGTTTTTATACCAATTCATCTAGCATTGAAAACGTGTGTGAGACTCTGCGGACATCGGGCTTCACTCAGGTCGATTCACACATGCACCTGGTGGGAAATGTGTTCTGTAAGGACAAACACTGTTCTAATGTCCTGCTGTTTCCCAGAAGGCTTACAAAACAACTGGAGGAAACCAAACTAGTGACAGAACACACACTCATAATACAGGTAATAAAGACACACAAGCATCATTCTATGGAAGCTTGTTTAGAATAAAAAAAAAACTTTTTAAACTTGTAATTCTGACTTTAAACTCGCTAGTTTATATATCGCAATTCCGACTTTATTTCTCGGAATTGTGAGATATAATCGTGGCGGAAACAAGCTTCCATGTCATTCTGATGGTGCAAACACATATCCAGGATTAATGTGTGTGTATGACTTCAGGATAAATCTCGCAGTCTGGCTGCATGTGCGGTTGCCCCGCTGTTGGTGGAGGGTGGTGACGTTCTGATGGTGGGGTCTTTCTCTGCTTGGACTGTGGCTCATGTGGCTCTCCGGGCCACTGCCTGTTCTGGCTGTGTACATGTATGTGGGGTCCTTAATGTCTCCACCTTCAACAAGGAATTACAAACTATCCTCACCTCTACTGGCTGCAAAAGTAAGTGTTACTCTGCCTAACCTTACAATAAGTAAATGTCTGCATACCATAGTATAGTGCCTTTCCTATGATTAGCCAGTAGTGAAGCATTGCTACTCGTGTGTTTTCTGTCTTTTTGCATAGATGTGAAACTGATGTCTGAGTACTTCAATGAGCTTAATGAATGGGATATGCGTATTCAGAAGGTTCGGGTGATTGTGTTGCTCCCACGGTGTTCTGTCTCAGCGCTCTGTAACCCTGTTGAGTTTATTCTCAATGAGAATGGAGGTACAGCAACAAATATGAATGATCTGATCATTTGAAACAACATTTCGAGATAACACACTGCTCTTTATCAGACAGAGGGCTGTTGCATGGCCTATCTAAAGGAACCATCTCTGACAGTAAACTGAAGCCACTGGTTGCTAAGCAGACACAAGACCTCAAACATGCACTTAACTGTGAGTCACACACACACACACACCGTACACCATATTACGACCGAATTTTTTTTGTTGTGTTTCTTTATTTAATAATCATACAATGACTAAATCACATCATGTGGGTTAACATGACTTTCTTAACGTCAGTTCCTAAAGTGAAAGGCGTGGTGTACTGCACATGCTCAGTATATCCAGAGGAGAATGAACAACTTGTGAAGAGAGCGCTTGAAAATGCAGAAAGCAAAGCAAAAGCTTTGCCCTTCAGGTAACACACACACACACACACTCACACACAAACAAACACAAACACTGCCCAAGCATTAAGTCCTTCCTGTCACACGCCACTAACTATGCGGATTTAAAGTTGCTGTATCCATGGAAACAGCAGTTAATCCATGGAAAAGCAAGTGGGGAAGGATTATGAATGTTTGAGTTATGAGAAAATGGAAATAAATTGAATTGAATTTACTGTATTTACAACACAAAACATCTCTTTTTCTTTCTACATGTTTCTCACAGGCTGGTCAGTGCAGGATGGGATGATGAGAAAGAGAAGTTTTTCAGAATTGAATCATCTGACGTCACAAATGGCTGTTTCCTCTGTGTGATGAAAAGAGAGGTAAGAAGGAAAGAGACAGAATCAGACAACTAACAGAATTTTTTAACATTTATAAAGGAATTTTTACAGCCATAATGATATGCTGATATAATTCATATGTTGAAATGTGTATGTGTGTGTGAGTAGAGAGCTCACAGACACACACATACACACACACACACCGCTCTCATCCAGAGCTTGATGCATTGCTGTCCTAAATACTGGCAGTGTAGCTCTGGTTCACACTAAATAATGAACACTTGTGTCTGATCACATTAGCATCCATACAAGACCACACACAGCAAGAAAAACAAGTCTGTAGCTTCTTGTGTGTGTGTATGTGTGAAAGCTTGCATGTGCACTAGACAGTAAATAGACTGGGGCTAGTTTTTGTACCACATTGAATATTTTTCGGGGTAGTTTTTTATTATTATTTTTTTATTATACATTGCCCCCAAATGTTTTGATTATGGGAATCTGCCATTTATCACTGATAGTAAAACAGTTGTGAAACACAAAACAATAATGAAAATATTTAAACTATATTATGGATGGATGGAATGAATGTAAAAAGTTTGGGGTTAGTAATTATTATTTAGCAAGGATGCATTAAATTGATCTAAAGTGACAGTAAAGACATTTATATTTCAAATAAATACTGTTCTTTTAAACTTTCTATTAATCAAAGAATCCTAAAAAAAGGTAATATGGTTTCCATATTAAGCAGCACAACTGTTTTCAACATTGATAAATAATAATCATATTGTTATAATAATAAATGTTTCTTGAGCACCAAATCAGCATAATGATTTCTGAAGGATCATGTGACACTGACTGGAGTAAGGATGCTAAAAATTCAGCTTTGCCATCACTGGAATAAATTACATTTTAAAATATATTAAAATAGAAAACAGTTATTTCAAATTGTAATAATATTTCACAATATGTTATTTTTTCTATATGTTTGACCTAATAAAGGCTGGTGAGCATGAGATTACTTGCAAAAACACTAAAAAAATCTTACCGATCCCAAACAAGAATGTATGTTAAATAAATGCATTAATTTGATTGAATTTGATTAAAACACGTGACAACTTGCCCCAACCTGACATAAACCCTTGTCCCAAGAATATGGTTCAACAACCTTTTGGTTAAAATTCACCTTCATTTTAAATGTGACAGAAGTTGTGTAAAATCAGTCAATCAGATTAGAACATCTCTGTACTTTCCAGGTTTGTGAGCAAAATGTGAACGGACTGTCGAAAGACCTTGGATGTGCCGTGTGACAACTAGCCCTGGTCTCACTATACATAGTAAAATTGCACTATGTACATGTGTGTGCATGTGTGTGTGTGTGTTCTTTCTAACAGCATGACCCAGCAGAGGCAGAAACTGTGCAGGACATTTTGGCTCGAGCTCTTGCTAAAGGTTTGTTGGGGGGGCTGACGCCTCCTGACCCCCTGAATGGAGAGAAACCGAAAAAGAGGAAAAAACAAAAGGGATCCACATCAATTGTTCCGCCTTCCTCTCTTATTGAGCCTCCTGCATCAGTGATGATCAGTCTGAGTCCTCCAGCTGTCAGTGTCAGTCAGACAGCAGCCGCTCCAAAACACACTTCTAGAGTCCTGACTGACAGTTCCACAATACTAGATCACACTTCACTCACTAAAAGTCAAACTTCCACATTTATGGATGCCACATTTAGCACTACAAATCATTTGAGTCTTCTAGACCCATCGGACAACCAGTCTTCCGTTGTGCTAAAGAAGCGACCAAAGGGTCATAAGCCTCAAGCTAAAGTTGCTAAGCAGTCTGGGAGAAAAAAGAGGTCTAAATCCCACACTCGTAAAGAACGCCAGAGCAGGTCTCGACCTCCACGCAAGAGACTCCTGCACCTTCGGCCGTCTCAACACGCCACTGTTAACTCCATTAAACCAACTCCACCTCAGACCAAACCTGCTGCCATCAGAACCCCAGCGTCCCCGTATAGATCCAGACATCTGCACAGCAGAGCCACGTCTCAACGAGAATCTGTTAAACCGGAAAAGGAAATGGTCAAATCAGAGGCCTGCGAGCCTTACAGGGAGGAGACCCGGTCAAGAGAGCTCAGTCTCCCTCACGTTTATCCGCTCAGTCCTTCACACCTCTCTTCGTCCCCATACTCCTCCAATTTCTCCAGCAGTCTTTCCTCTTCCAGCAGTATTGCCAAAGGCAGAGACTCCATCATTTTACGTTCACAGACATGGCGCTGAGTTACAACCTGTTGTTCATACATACACATCCTGTGTGCTTCCATACTAAAGAAGAGTTGTGGTAAACAATGTGTGCAGATTAAGGCAAGGTAGCCTTCTGGTCTCATGACTATAACAGTCTTGTTGATTTATTCATGTTGATATATGCGGATTGTTGGCATTACTGTAACTGTTTGTATCATGTATACCACGTTGAATAAATTATTTTATTTGTGATATTTAACCGGTAGAGGAAGGTCCTAATTGTATGGTTTGGTATCAAAAATCTGTGGTGGTCATGTATTACTTTTAAATTAAACCGCATGTTGTATCTTATTTAATTTAAACTATACTTTGTATCTCATTTAATTACACATTTAAATTAATTCAAAAAGTATTTTATATCTCATTTAATTATCCGTTTAATTTAAACCAGATTTTTACATCACTATAAAATGTTTGATATCATCTTTATTTTGCCCACTATTATTTTATCCACCATATTTTCTTTGTTTGTTTTGTTCTTAATCAAAATGTCACAACTCATCAACCAATGGACAGACCCAAGAGCCATTTCACTTGGATGAACTTAACAATATAAAAGAAAATATTTGTTTTATTGTGGCTTTATAATTATGCCACTAAAGCTTTGACTCATATTTAGTAAAATATGAATATCCGGTAACACTTTTATTTTGATGGTCCGCTTTAGACATTCTACTAACTATAAGCAACTTTGCAACTACATGTCAACTAACTCTTAGTAGACTGTTAGGTTACGGTTAGGTTTTAAAAAATGGGTTTCAAAGTGCAAGTTTTTGAAAACAACAATTATTGTCTCTGTGTAAACTACAAAAATGTGAATTGGTGAAAATGGTGACATCATACCCATATGTTTCCCTGCTGAACAAAAGTGGGCGTTTCTAAATTTGTGGGTGTTTTCAAACTGGTGGGTGTTTATAAATCATGCCATGAAAATGATGCCCTTCACCCGACCCCACCCCTAAACCCTACCCTCACTGTGACGTGGGCAAATCAGGTAACCTCTGTGTATGGCCTCGCCCACTGATCTGGTAACTCCTATTACTTGGGGTTCAGTCACTTTACAAAATGGTATCACCAACTACTGGCCTGGCATTAGTATAGAGCTTTTTTTAGTTGTTTTCGCGGGACTGTGTGCTCCTTTGAATCATTTGAACTTTGTCATCTGTACGCGAAAAATACCAAAGGTGAAACTTTTCCATTTTTTGTACGAAAACGTATGATCTTAAGAGAAATGCTAAGCATGAAGGTCCACCCATGAACCTCAGTGGGATCATATGAAAACACAAATAAACACAAAAACCTAAAATATTTACGGACTGCCATGAGATGAATATCATTAGGACAATTATTTCTACTAACAATAGACTCACTATACAGTATGTATGAGATCAATTAACAGTCAGAAACATTTAGATGTATTTTGTGATATGCTATTTATTTTCACAACAGTTTACATTTATATGGTGTACAAATTAGTGTAGAGCAGAGAAAGCCAATGTTCACAAAAACATATTTGAGTTTACTTCACCAGTAGAGTGTTGATTCTTAGCTTGTTAATTCTTGTGATGAGATTTCACCTGATAGTCGTCAATCAGAGTGTTTCACCATACAAGAACACTAGAGTCAATCAAACACGCTACTTTTGGCTAACATGAGAATGATGATTCTATGCTGAATTATTGTACTGTAACTGGACTACATTACCCATATGCCCCCTTCCTCTAGCATGTAACAGCTGACTTTGCTGGTTGCCAGGGAATTCATTTCTAAACCAAGTGTGATTAATTCTTATTCAATGTGACCCCCCCTCAAAAAAAAAAATAATCCAAAAGAAACATTGCATTTTATAAGACCCAACATCACAGAGTGAAATTCACATGAAAGAACTGAACAAAAACCAACGTGCACTTCTTCAAAACTGCAAAAGAGATAAAAAGAGGGGATGCAGTACGCAGACAGATTGACGCTTATTCTGATTATCTGCAGGGTGAAAGCAGAACACGATGGGCCTTGTGTGTGAAGATACAGGAGTAATGGTTGTAGTGGAGCTAGCTGAACATCTACATAGCCTACTGCCCAAACAAATGCGTTCTAATTTTGGTTATTGTGAAAAATATGATTGTGACAATCTTGACGAATGTGTCTGTTGACGAAATTGTTTAAATTGACATTTCGGAAAATACACTAAATTACCAAATTGGTGTGTAATATAATATAAGTTATCATTATTAGGGTGCTTGACCTAATTAATAGAACGCTAGTCCCTTTGCTGCTGTAACAGCTTACACTTCTTCCGATTTTGCTACAAAATTGCTGTTGAATAGCAATACGCATTAATAGAAGGACCTCTTTTATCGTTGTGCCGTGTCTCAGTGCTTTTTCAGTGTCTTGCACATGGGCGCCACATTTTTAAAACTCATCGTTAAAACTTTTAAAGTCACCATGTGACCAAAACTGATTTTTTTTAATGGAATATTGCAGTGTTTATTATAATTTATGTGTGCACATCATGTATATATTTTTTTAATTCATGAGCCCTCGTAATCTCCAATGACGTGTTTACTGGCGTGAGGGCAGGACAACCCGTCACTCACATGATGAGAGATCACAGCAATACATTTTTTTCTTGTTTGAGAAGCTGTTTTACGTGTATATTCATCACAATAGGGAAGAAAAGATGATTGAGACCCTGCGTTTGTTGCCAATTTCCTGCATTGTTTCTCAAATTGTCACAAAACGCGTTTTGTGTAAATGCCCCAAAATGTGATTTGTTTGGCTGTACAATCGATTTTACGCCTGTTATTATCTTTTGCAGCTAAAACGGCAACTTGTTAGGTTCAACATACTTTTGGTCATATAAGGCCAGATTTACTAACAGCTTGCGCCAGTGCAAACCCTCTTTTGCGTTAAAATACTACTGATTTACTAAAGACACGCAGTGAAAAATTAGCGCTGAAAAGGCGTGGACAGGGTTATTTTTGCAGCTGACCTTATTGCATGCATTTGTAGAAGTTTCCCTTTCAGACACAAAAATTATGGGACGAGAATGTCTTAAACCAGACGCTAATTGGTAGATTGCGTTGGTCATTATGGAAATGATCTGACTGCGTCCGTGTTCTTTAATTTGCAAGTAGTCAGTAAACCACACAGATATTTCCACGCCCATCTGCACTTTTTTTGGAATTGCGCTCTCACGCTAACTTGCCCTGTTTAGTAAATCTGGCCCTTAGTGTATTCTAAAGCAGTATTTAATGTTGGTTTGGGCAGAACGTGAAGGTCCTCCAAGGCCTTTCAAATGTTATGTTACCATGGCAGGCCGCGTCAGAGTAACTGGTCACCAGAGTAACTACAATGTTTTGGATTGACATTTCTTGTTTGATTTGTTGTCCGAGACAGGGTAAAGAATGTCTAAGCATATGATACATCACAATAAAACCAGTATATACCGATATAAAATAGAATAAATAAAATAAAAAATATCATTTCTGTTCAGTACAGTTATTCTTCTTAAATTGTCCCAGGACATGCAAGGCAAAGTGTCTTTTTCTCTCTCTCTCTCAAATCTTCCTCAGAGCTAAAAGAATGCATAGATAGACACTTACAGTTCACATCTCCTCCTCTAGAGCTAGCTCTCCTAAAAAGGACCATAAAATAAATTCATATTCACAATTTCTACCATCATTCACTCATCTTCTTTTCTTTGTTTTGTCAGTTGGTTTATCTACAACACATACATGAGTTTTTTGTTGTTGTTGTTTTTTACAGTATGGCCAGAACAAATGGGATCACAAGACATGCCAAGGCAAGTACGACCAAAATAAAACATGACAAAATGAAAGTATCTGAAATTTGAAAAATAAAGCCTTATGATATGATGTTTGCTATATATAGATACTGTATGTACACACATAAGTGATCCGTCAAAACCCTTGTGAAAGAAAGGGTAAGTCTAGGAATACAGGTGGCACGCCAGAGCACAGCAAGACCACGTGGGTAAAGCGTGCGGGTAAAAAAAAAAAACATTTGTGAAGCGCAACCAGGACATGTAGAGCCACTAATGACATCCGAACGTGAGGAACGGATGCTGGAACTGAAATAGCTCTTTAGTTTTTCACTAACTTGGATGTGCTGCGGATATTTTTGACTTTCAGTCACTGGAAAGCCTCTCGCGGAAGTAAGCACTACGCTGGGGTTCAAAGCAGAAGTGACACCATTGAACGATTTGGCTCTAAGGAAAGTTCTTCCCGCCTCCTGTATTTCGCTCCATGAGTAATTCAGTTCTCTTCTGCCACATTCTCTCTTTCAAAAAAAAAAAAAAGGCAATTTCACTTTGGAAATATAAAAAGCACATTCATACTTTACATCTACACACTGAAATGAAGAGGTCATGCCCTTCCGACTGTGTTAATGGGGATGGGCAAGTCTATGGGGATGTTTGATTTATCAACGTTGTTCATTTTATGTCCGCATCTTTTACAAGCCTCCTCATCGACTTCCGGTGAAGACAAGCGTTTCAGCAGAGCTTCTTGAAGAAAAAAAAGAATAATTTGGTGAAAGCTTTGATGTGTTTTGACATTAATGCTGTTCGACTTAATTTTCAACTTCCTACTTGGAAAAGTGCAAAGGAAATTCACTTGAAGTCGAACTTGCGCATTGTTGACGTCGAACAAAAGCGATGCTAAGTTAGCATTCACATTCGCACATTCACTGTTGTTTGGCCGATTTTTGAGGTTGAAATCAAGCCATTTCAATAGGAATCCGTGTGACTGGTATTTCTCCACTCGCATCAGGCAAATTCGTTGCATTCACCAACAGAAAGCTGCTTGGTTTGAAAGTGACTTTTGTGTGGACTGCGCTTCATACATCGCTACACAATTGACAATGGACATTTTTGCCAGCAAAATTTCAGTAGAATATCACTGACGATTTACACAATCTTTTTAACATTGGAGCACCTTGGTCAGAAGATGTCAAGTAGGAATATTCAACATCCGAATTCAACCCTTCACAATCTTCTGAGTTTTATGACATTGCTTCCTCTCATCCATCCATTCTTCTTCTTTTGTGTTCGTCAGTATAACAAAGAAAACCTGCTTGTTTTTATGACACTTGCGAACATGCTTTAGCGAATGAAGCAGCATCAAGCTCTTCTACACACCCGCACACATATACTGTGACGATTTGAAGAACTGTGTGTCATATTTGTTCTTTCTGAATTACACAAACTTTCTTCAGTTTAAGTTATCTCTTTCAGGAGGCTTTGTCCAGGTGGAGTGGTGTTTATCGATGGGCGGAGCCTGTTGGTTATTGTCATGCTGGAGAAGCGTGTCTTCCCATGCAGATATACTCATGACTGACTGACATACATATGTGTGACGGAAGAGAGAGGCTTGATGATCAGGTGTGTGTGTTTGCGAGAGTATTTTCTTGGCATCAGATCATTTTTATAATTACGTGTAGTTTTTCTTTCAGACAGTTTTCATCCTCGAGTTCCTCTTCATCTCCGTCATGTGACTGGACAGGTTATGTACAGGACATTCTGATAGTTATAAGCATGCAGAGCGTGGCGGTGAGTATGCGTGCTTGTGTGTCAGATCACTGGGGGAGCTCAGTGACGGGTCTCTTCTGTTTGAGCGTGTCGATGAGGGACAGAACTCCACGTTTGACGCTGGTGGAGACGCGGCGTGTGACTGAGTCAGCAGGGGGCGCCTGTGAGCAGGCTTTCTGAGATGGAGGGCGTGCCACCAGACACTTCTGATACCTCAACTGCAGAGACAAAGAAGAAAACAAGAAGAAAGAGTGAGTGGATGAATTCATGTGTCGAATGAAATGCATCAGGCTGGGCTGGAAAAGATCTTTTAACCTTGATCTTGTTAAATTATGAAAAGTTTGGGCGGTGGTTTGGACACTACACCTACAGTTGGTATAGACAGATAGTCTATAGTGTTGACTAAGCAATGTTTACAACGATTAAGCAATATTGTGAATACTGCATTGATTTTAACATATTTTTTTTTTTATTTGGCCATCAAGTTTCATTCACAGAAGTCTCAGTGGGGCATTTTTCATAAAAAAACTATTTTGTGCTAAATTTTAGTTGGAAGGTAACAAAGCTGTTTATGGCTCTGTATTTTAATGAATATATATATATATATATATATGTATTAGGGCTGTCGATGTTACTGCGTTAACACATGCAAAATTCTTAATGTGTTAATTTAACGCAAATAAATTACTGAAGCACGTGAAATTGCGTCATTAACATAACGTCACGCAGTTAGATGATCTTGAGAGTCGGGAGTTTATTACACTCAGTGAATTATTCATTCCAGTGTCTGATTCGCTTTAAAACACGAGCTGTCATATTCTGTGATCATTTCTGAAGAGCGCGAGCCCTCACATTGTATTTATGCACAGACACATTTCAGTATATTCACATTGTCTCCACACGTTCAGAATAATGTTTTGATTTGTCATGACTCATGTGTGTGTTGCTGTGTTTAGTCATTCTGAATGGATCTGTGTACAGTCAGATACGGTTTCATTATTTATTTATTTTTGGAATCTCCATGTGGTCCTGTTCGGTATCGTAACTTGACTTGCCTAAAATGTAAACAAGCTCTTTAGTGTTGCACTGAACACATACTATACACTGTGAATTCTGAAAAGGTTTTTTTTTAAATGGGTGCTTTGGTGTGCAAAAATGTATGAATTATGGATTAATTAAGCGCACTTAAAAATTTGTATCTATTGACAGCCCTTCTATATATTAAAAAGTTCGAGATAAGTACTTTTTTGATAAATGAAAATGAATGCTTTTATTCAGCAAAGACAAACTAATTTGTTCAAAAGTCACAGTAAATCTTTTGACATTTATAATGTTACAAAGGTTTCAAATTTCAAATAAATTCAAATACAAGCTTTTGAACGTTCTATTCATCAAAAAATAAGAATAAAATTACATTTGAAAATATATTAAAATAATTTTCTTTTTTTTAAAAGGGCTCTTTTAAATTGCAAAAATATTTCACAATAATATTACAGTTTTACTATATTTTTCAATAAATAAATGCAGCCTAGGTGAGCATGAGAGACATAATTCAAAAACATTTTTAAAAAAATCTTACCTTTTGAATGCCAGTTTGTATTCAATAAGCTGAAAAATATTGATATATAATTTTTGTAGCTACATTATATTGTCCAGCTCTGGTCTTGACAATGATTGTGTTTAGTTATAAAGCTTCGCTATAGACAGTGCCCATAGAACAAGACTGCTGCAGTAAGTTTGTAACCCATTTGACGAGGTGTAGAACCGTTGTTCCGGTGTTATAACTCACCATGCACGCTGCCTGAACAGCCTCTGACACACTGCCAGCATTGGGATCACACCAAAAAACATGACACTCAAAGTGCTGGTTCCCAGAGTCCATGACGAACGCGAATGAATGCACATCTTTCCCTACTCCCATGAAGGACAGGAAACGCACACGACACTCCACTAGGACCTCCTCTTCCTCCTAATACACAAATCAACATTTCAAAGATGATAAGCACACCTGAATTAGTTGTACTTTAGCAAAACACACAGCTATTTTGGCAATGATGTTATTGGGTTTAACAGGTGAAAAGATCTGTAATTGCCTTCTCTTTGATGACTGTGACTGTTGCGTCGGCTACATTCAACATCACTGGGATCCAGTCGTCTCGGATTGACGATGTTATCAAACTGTCTATTGCACCGTTGAGAATGTCCATGCCTAGAAAACAGGGACATCTGACCTTGTAATAGCATGTACAGTTCCAGGAAAGAAGTATGAGAGGCTTTATCTGAATAAATTAGCCATAATTTACAACAGTCGCAACAATAAACAAATGCAGTCTACTTAAATAACAAACAATGATGCGTTCTCATGTCTTTGTTAAACACTCGGGGCCAGATTTACTAAACGCAAATTAGCATCTGGTTAGAGACATGTTTTTTTTGGGGCGGTAAATAATTGCAAGAATACCAGTAAATTGACTAGCGCAAGCCTTGCGTAATTCATTTAAATACTCTCCCATAGATTTTGCGTCTGAAAGGGAAACTTCTACAAATGCATATGCAATAAGGTCAGCTGCAAAAATAACCCCGTCTACGCCTTTTCAGCGCTATTTTTTCATTGCGTGTCTTTAGTAAATCCTGACAGTAGTTTTTTAAAGCCAAAAGAGGGTTTGCGCTGGCGCAAGTTGTTAGTAAATCTGGCCCCAAGTAGGGTGAAAATGATTTCTTCAAAAGCTAACTGGAGTCAGGAGTCATCTAACCTGGAGTCTTAAGACGAGAATGGAGGTCAGAGCCAGCCTGACCTATAAAACAACACTCACAAAGTTTGCTATATACAAGGCAATCACCGTCAAACAAAAGAGATCTCAGAACACCTAAGATGAAGAATTGTTGATTTGCATAAAGCTGAAAAGGGTTACAAAAGCGGGACCTTAAGAATGTGATGCACACCAACTCAAAAGTGAACTGTAAAAGTTTTGCAAGTAAGAAAAGTGCCAAATGTCTGACAGATGTGCATGGCTGATTCGGAAAAAATATCAACTACCCATTAAATAAGGATTTACATACTTTTTCCACACTGCACTGTAAATATTTACACTGTGCTTACAATAAACACATAAAAAAGAATGATTGTTTGTCAGTTTAAGCAGACTGTGTTTATCTTTTGTTAAGGATTAGATCAAATCTTATGACCAATTCATTTACATTTATGCATACAAAGCTACTCACCTGCATTGAAAGTATAAATATTATCAGTTCATGCATTCCCTGGAAATCAAACCCATGACGGTATTGCTAGCGCCATGCTCTACGGTTTGAGCTACAGGAATTTATCCAAACATATATTACACATTATATAACTGTGTGAGAGAAAGAGAGAGAACATTAAAACTATGAGTGCAAGACTACGAGTGAGAGTGATTGCTCACCTATAGGTCTGGCAACCGGCATCATGCCAACGTATAACACCTGGAATTTCTGCACCAGTTCAGTCTTTGGTGTGGGGAACTCTGCTAAGGGTAACACACAAATTACACATTAACACACACCTATTATTTAACAGGGAAGAAATGCACATTCACTACCCTTCAAAAGTTTGGAATAATAACATTTTTATATTTTATATAAAATTATAATAATCAGTTTTTGAACATGTTCTTAAGTTCACCAAGGCTGGTAACATTTTAAAATGTAAATGTTTTTACTGGTTTTTTTTTGTAAATGTAGCCTTGGGGAGCATAAGAGACTTCTTTCAAAAACATTAAACAAATCTTTTGACCAGTAGTGTATAAGCACGTTGTGTTACCTTGTAGTGGGACGTCGAGCCCAGCATGTGTTCTGTCCTGTAGGGATCCTCCAGCCATAGCTTTGGCATTTTTGCGCTCTGCCATGATCTATTACACAGAGATCGAACTCATTAGACGCGCTGCCCTAAATCAGCAGCCTAAACAGAATGTGAACCCTGCTTCTTCCTTCTCAGCTGTGTTCTATCCTTTCGCACATACTTGAGACTGTCAGTGGTTTTCTCTGCAATTTTTGTGTTAAACTGTTTTGAATGGGCCATTGAGGATAATTGTGTTGGATGTTGTTTGTATAGTGTGTAGTTCTCACCCTGGAGCAGATTTCGTGCAGACTGGTGGCGATGGCTTTGGCAGGGGTGTCACAGCGGAACACATGACATTTTAATATCCTGGTGTCCTTATCTCGCGCTACATATGCAAAATCCCTGTTTGCACACAATTAAAATGAAACACAATTACACTTATGTAAACAGCTGTTTAAAGTCACATTTCACAACCCATTTAAATCACATAATCTTGTGTTACCAAACAGAATACTGAACTAGAAAAAAGTAGAGGGTCACTATTTTATGCATAGGAAAATGATTGGGCCACAAAAAGGTACTGTTGATTTACTACATTTTTACAAAATAATTACAAAGAAAAATATTTTATTTTAAATAAAGTGCACATTAAGACCAGGAATGTGCATTAAGGAAGTAAATAGAGTCATTTTAAATCAACAACCATATTAAACGAATCAATAAATGATGCAATTGAACAGACACTTGGCTATAAATATAAAGAGTTGTGAATGTGAGTTTGTGTGTGTGTGTTTGTGCATATGCTAAGAACTGCCCTCAAAGACTGTGATGGATGATGTGCCCTTTAGATTTAGACAATCAATATAAAAACAGTTACTTAAAGAAACATACAGCAACATTTCAAACAAACAAAAAAATATGGCGTAAAATATAACCGTGGAGAAAAAACACACACCCTCTTTTACTATATGCAGCCAGGTGCACGTGGATGTCTAAGATGAATGAGTATCTCTATACTTACACCTCCAGCTGTATCATACACAGTATTATTCTTTAACATTTCAGCTAAAAATAAACCATTATGAACAAAATGACCAGCAACAGACTACAGCCGGGCAATAGGAAGAATACAAATAACGAAAGAGTAAATCGATTTACCTCTCTCTGAGTCCCGGAAAGCAGTCGAGTAAAAGATTAAAAAAAATAAACATGATGAGAAAATACACACAATGATGCCCATTAATGAAACATGAGTAAAACATATTTCTGCATAAATCATTCACAAAACAAACCTGTCACATTCAGTTCAATGCAACAAAATATGTATTAGGAAGGATTTACACAGAAACACTGCTTTTGTTTCATGAATAAGTTCAAATGTGTTCAGGTATTCCAATGCATTCATAACAAATAGACCATAAAAAATTCCTAGGACAGGAATTGCATCTTAACAACTGCTAGAACTTGCTGTGGACAGAATATATTGTCATTTCAAGAAAATATACATTTTCTAGCAGTTTTGCATTTTCCAAACCTCCATAATAAGACTATGTGATATTTCTATGTATGCATGTATGAAAGAAAGAGAAAAGAGAGAAGAGAGGGGAAACGAAACCAGCAGGTGTGACAAGAGAATTTAGACATTTATCAAGATGTATGTGACACCTCAAAACATGAGGCTCTCTGTGTGCAGCCAGAAGAAGACATGAATATGTAACAGTGTGGTAATTAGAGATTTAACAGACAGAGAGAGAATAAAACCAGATGAACTCAGTGCACTCAATAATGTCCAGAATGAACCCCAGGCAGGAAAACCTGTTCAAACTGGGCTATGTTACAGCACCTCAGCAGGATTTGACAGAAAGATGTGCTGGAGGGTCAAGGAGAATCTACAAGGAGATACAGGGAACAAAGCAAATGGACCGAGAACAGAACCCTGAGGTTCCCCTGAGGAATTTGAAAAAAGGCATGTGTTCTAGTTTGCGTGGATGTGTGGGATGGTATCAGAGGGAAGGCCTGATCTGAGGGAACACACAAGGAAGTTGCAGTCTCTTTCAAATGTGAACATCTCGCCGTGACCTAATTTAATAACGGCACACACAGTACTCCACAATGCTATCCTCACCACAGTAAATGACAACAACACGTAGAGTACGTCCATAATTCTCTACTGAAATCTCCACCTACTCATCCACACCATCTGGAGCAATTCCACCCACTCCACCTTCTAACTGCTCTACTATTCCTCCTTTCTCACTCCAATACATACTTCCACTGCAAACAACTCAACAACAAATGTCATGCTGTAGAAAAAAATGCATTACATTTATTCATGGGTATTGTCTCAAGTTATAAAATAAAGTGATAGAAAGAGAGAAAATACTCACATCTTTTCAAGTAATGTGTTTTTCCTGCTATAGCATTGTCGTGTACCCTCTTCTACAGATTTTCACCTCCTCGTCTCATCCCCTGCTCTGTTAAAAACATGCAGCTCACCTCTCTATGCTGGATCTCTCTCTTTTTTTTACCCCCTTCTCATTTTCGCTCTCTCTCCTTCCATCCAATCCCAGCGTTCCTTCTACCCTCCCCCTCCTGCTTCGCTTGTCGCTACGGTAACCTCCTTCAGGGTCTTGGGAGGAAAATGTTACTGATGGGCTTAGTGGAGTATTAGCATAGGAGGACACAATGATCACACACAAGCACATACTTACACATGCAGACTACACAATAAGTCTGAAAAAGCCAAGCCTAAAGCATGGTTCCTGTTGAGTGAACATATGAAGTATGCCATCTGCTGGTCAGAGTGTGGTACTGCTTACAAGCAGTGAGGCAAAACTGTGATTCAGCATCCCTGATGAAGTATGCTGCATTCCACCCCTGCATCATTCACACACACACACACACACACACACACACATACACACACACACACACACACACACACACACACACACACACACACACACACACACACACACACACACACACACACACACACACACACACACACACACACACACACACACACACACACACACACACACACACACACACACACACACACACACACACAGCTCTTCAAAATGTGTAAGAGATTCATATGCAACATTTGGAAGTCAAAAATACTCACAGCTACACATACACTGGATTAAACTTTCATTAGTCTCTCAATCATCAATCTTTTATTTCAGTCCTCCTTTCACTGGGGTGACTTCTTCAATCCAGAATCATTATAATGACCTTTAGCGTGAAGGGACTGGAGGAGTATCTCGATATCAGAATACATTAACACAGACACATTAAGTGAATCTCTTACAGAGTGTAATAAGTAATGAACGCATGAGGAAGTCACAGGTGCAGAGATGCTGACGTTTGCAGATATAAATCACTAATTAAAATGAAATGTGAAGAATTCACAGCACATGCATCAGCCACTAGAACTGGGCAATAGGTTATATTGAATAGTCACAATATATTTTGCAAAAATTTTGCTAGTGATATCAATAAGCATTATACTACAGGGCTGTTGAATGCTTGATTCTGATTGGTTGAGAATCTGTTCTAAGGTGTGCAATTATTTTCAGGGAAAAACACGGCTAAAGTAGTTCCAGGCAGGTCTTGACTGCATTACACTTCCATATCACTTCGCCAAATGATTTCAGTTATTTCAAAGGTCCTTACAGACTACAACGACAAAAGAACCAAAACCCACAACGACACTGACTGAGCAAAATACATATAGTAAACAATAGGATAAAAACAACAAATTATTTCCAAGTTTTCTGTCACAAAATTATGTTTTATTATTTATGCATTTATTAGTTATTATGGAAATCACATATCTTTCTCGTGCTCTCTCGCTCTCCCACTCAAACCCACACACAAACAAAGGACAAAAACTTGACAAACGTCTTGAAATACATATTTTGAGGTGTGGTAACTGTATTATAAGCGGAATAATTGACTCCGGGGCATTGAATTATTAGAAAAATATAATTATTTTTCTAATAATTCAACGGTCCGTCGTCAATTATTCCTTATATATTCTGTGACTGAGACAAACTGTCAGTTTCAAGTCTTTGTCTTGTCATCAATTTATTTTTTATTTATTTTTTTTTTTTTACATTTTTGTACATTAAAATGTCTTAGCAAAAAATATTTAGTTAATGTATATGTTAAAAAAATTATGACTATATTACTATGTATTGTTATATCGGTTCATATACAGGAAAGTCATTAAATATCATTATTCCTTCTTAGAAAAACTGAGGATAACATGTATTGATTATTTTTACTTAAAGTTTTGCAGTAAATATTTAGAAAATACTTGGCAACACTCGCTGATTGAAAATATTGTGATATATCAAGTATAATTAAATGGCTGAAAAACACTTTTTAATTATTTTAATTATTATTTATATATAGTATTTCCTTTTCCCAGCAATAAAGTATTGTAATGGTGAAATGTACATTTACTTCACCTGCATTCAATAGCTTTTGTAGGTCATTTCAGTGTTTGAAATGGCCTTTATCTGATTTAACAAGGTAGAGAAAGAACTTACTCAAAAAAGATTGAGCCAACATTCAGTGGGTCACAGAGATTCAGCAGAACAAGTGCAGCAAAGTATAAAATTAATTCCTCGTAAATTAGACCCTGATGATGTCTGTGGCAGCTGCAATGTTTAAACTGATATAAAATCCATTTTTGCCCCATCTGTGCGGTTTCAAAAACTCTGATATTTATAAAGAGATTTTTAGAAACACCTCCCGTATTTTCATAAACACAGAGTTATTAAACATTCAGTTTTGTTCAGTTTATCTCTGTCATTTATTAAACATTTCATAAACCCTTAAGGTGATGATAAACAGGGCAACTATTTGAGCAATGTTGCTGGGCAATCTTGCCGAGCGATTGTTGCTTGGGCGTTTTCCCATTAAAAATGGGTAATACATTTCTATCTGGATAATTTAGGTCGGTCGTGGGCCCTGTGTCTCATCTGGTTGCCCGTTGACGGCAACATTGCCCAGCAACATTGCTCAAAAAGTTGCCCTGTGTATCATCATCTTTAATCATTTAACATGTTCTCCTTAACTAACCCATAAAAATACCCATTGCCATGACAACCAGCATTTACCTTCCATTATCGCGGCCGACGCCCCACACACGGATGCTTGCGATTGGCTGAGAGTGTAGAACGCTACGATCCATCGGGTCAACCAGATTCAGCATGTTATTCTCCAGAATGAGGTACATATCCTTCCCCTGGAAACACACGCACAACGCCAGAGAACAAGATGAGAGTTCAGTTTCAAAACCTAGTGAGCTTTCTTGCTGTCTAATGCCTACATAGGCAGCTGCCTTCTGAGTAGGGGCGGGTTTACCATTTTGGGGGACCCAAGCGATCTCAGGCCCCCCACACCCCAACATTACGTAACACTTTACTCTGAATTGCAATTATTAAACTGCATACCAAAAATTATCTACACTTTTGTACTTGCTCCCTTAAGCTTTAAGATATAAACCTTCTTGGTTTTGGATTCATCAAGAGTCTTAATTTAGTCCATTGTCTTCAATATTCAAAATTCCACTGTGTCCATTCAGCTATGAGAAAATAAACCTCTTGGTTTTAGCTTGAACAATTGTCTTCTTATTGTGAAATATGGCTGATATTCCGATTCTCAAATATGTGTTAGTGTTTGCATTTTGTCTTTTAAACACTTTTATAATGATTATGTTAGATGATAACGGGTGATCAGTGCCGCCATATAATAGTTTGCTCTTCAGCGCAGAGAATCAGAGTTGTCGGATTTATAACACGTAAATTAATTCACATCTCCCGAAAGACATAAAAAGTAAGTGAACTGGGAGAAGGATAAAAAAATAAAAATAAAAGTAAACTATTTAGTTACCTACGCAATGTATTTCTGCCGTGAATAAAACAACGGCGATTTGGTTAGCGTTAGTTCACCCAAAGATAAAAATGACATAATTTACTCAACCTCAGTGTCGTTCCAAACCCATATGACTTTCGTGCATTTTCGGGACACAAATATTTATCTTTATTTTAATGAAATTTGGGAGATTTCTGTCCCTCCATTGAAAGAACCATGAATCGAGCAGTTTAATCCAAGAAGAGACACGATTGCTTTAAATGAGCAGATTTAATTTAGGCTTATTCACATATAAACATTGATGAACAAGGTTTGCAGCATTCTAAATTTGGTTATGGTAGCAATGTTTATATGTAATAAACGAGGTCAACAGTGCTGCTGTAACAGCGGTCATCAACTGATTGAATTGCTTGGTCAGCAGGGGTACTCAAACCTGCGGGGCCCTAAGCATTTGTGTACGTGGTGGTTAACAACGCTACTGCTTCTAAGGCGTCATACAAGTTACACTCCTCTCACAAAATGTACACAAGGCTCGGCTTTGGTGTTAGCACATTTTTTTAAGCTAAAAACATGATACTATTTTTTATACTATGCTTTTTGGTATTGAAATGTAATTATATTGTAATCCATGTGATATTAGACAAATAGCTCAACTCAAACAGAACACATTAGCGCCATGTTGCTAAGTTTAAACCGTAATATTCTAATAAGCATAATATGCACAACACATGGAAACAATGGGTAAAACAGTGAATTTTGTAAATTCGACTGAAGGTTTTAAACTTTGCTTTTTTTGTATTGAATGAAATGTAAGTATATTATGATCCATGTCATTTCATACAAATAGCACAGGTTAAGTTGCTGCTAAATTAAAACTTGATACTCTAATAAAACAAACTTTTTTTAATGCAGCTTATTTAAAATTCTCAGCTGATTTGTCAAATCAAAGCTTTTTAGTATTAAATAAAATATCATTATATTTATCAATCAATGTTTCTCTTGCTTCACTTTATTCACTCAATTTCTCTGCGAAGGATAATGCAATGCTGCCTAAGATTTTGACCAAAACAAAGGTGTCTAAGAACTCACACTGTCTACCTTATTAAAGGGACACTTCACCCAATTGCATTAAGCTTTGTATCTTTAGAAACCCAGTCCAAAAATGGTCAGTCTATTTTTGAATGGTCATGGTTTATTCCCTTATTTTCCTCTGAGATGAGAGAAATAAGGATTTAAGTTGCAATTGCAGATACTGAAATCAATATCAGCCATCTTGTTTGGAAGCTAAGCTAACAAGCGCTGTGGAAATAGGAAGTTACGACAATGACGGAAGAAACTAAACATGATATGGAAGAAGAGGATTTTGAAATTCTGCTGCTCGAATCCGATGTTCGTGGCTATCTTTACGAGCCGCAATATAGTGAAGAGCAGCTGAGGCTGATGGAGGAACAGGAGGCGGCTGCCTGTCGCGGACGAGGAGCCCGGACTGGGTCGAGCTGGGCGGACTGCTGGTGCCTGTGCTCTGACTGTGCGCTACGGACACAGATAGAGTCCGTCTGCTGCAGAGAATTTCAACGATGGCAATTTCTCCTGGACGAAATCTCTGAATCAGACGAGCACACGGACGTTTGTGTTGTGATGTGAACCATCCTAGTTTCACACCGCATATGTTCTGACTGAACATCCTGGTATCATGCAATAATTCACCATATAGAAAGAAATACAAACGAGGAGTAATTCACTAATGAGTTTGCCAATGTAACGGGTTCGTTGTTGTGGGAAGGAGGAGGCAGGAACCGGCGAACATTTAAACAAATAGTAAAATAAACAAATACAAAACAAAAGTATAAGCCAGCAGCCCCTCACTGCTGGCCACACACAACAAGAAACAAAACAACATAAAATCAGGCCTGTTCCTCTCTCGATCTGCACTGTCGTCGCTCCTCCTTTTATGTTTCCGCTCCTCCGTGAGAGATGCGAGACCGGTGCGTCTCACAGGTGTCGTTCATTATCACTCCAGTTCACACCACCGGCCTCGCGCCGTCCTCTCACATCCCTCAGCCTCGTCCTGCTCGCCACAGCCAACTAACTAGAAATTTAGTTTGAAATGAATTTCAAACTCTCGTGGCAGCCAAGGGGGTAATCCATCGACCGGAAGTTGAAGCCGGCCGGTTGCCGCCATGTTGTAGCAGAACTTCACTTGCGTTAGCATTTCCATTGACTCCCATTCATTTTGGCGTCACTTTGACAGCGAATAACTTTACATCTGAGGCGTTTAAAGACTCCATTTGTCCATTATTTATTTCTAAAGAAACACGACAATGTATAAAGGGCTCCATTACCTTCTATGTTACATTATGGCCCCGTAGAAACAGATTTTGTAAAAATAGGCTAACGATTGCGTCATAACCACTCGACTCTCTGTCGCGCTGTACAGAAATTACCGTACAGACAGGAGGAGAAGCTCGCAGGCGATCGGGGGGACGTCCCGTCAAGGGAGAAGCCCATAGATAATGAGTCCATAAAAGCAACGGAATACTTACTCCTGCTCACTCACGCCAAAGAACTCTTTGCTCAAGTTCCCCGTCTCTGCAAGATTAGTCTCGCGTAGCCAGACCTTCAGACTGACGGCTGAAGGTCTGGAATTCATAGCAGCTTTCTTTGGCCAAGGCCCGCCCATAAGGCCGTTTGACCGACATGTCAAACAACCAATTACAGTTCGTTTCGTTCAGCATCACGTTTCGGGGCGTGGAAATGTCCCCACAACAACAGACCAGCGTGCAACAAGTCAGTCAGCATAGAAAATCAAAGAAGGAGAAGAAAACTTCAAGAGTCTATGCCGTGAACCTCGCATACTTTTGCGAATCCTACGTTTAGCTGATCTTGATAAATGCTCATTGTCACTCATGTAAACACAACAGTTTTTCTTCCGCAATCACACGTCTGCGCTTTGTTTCCCGGCGGACCGAAAATAAACGCGACACTCGCGCCCCCCGGAAATCCGATAAAATTCAACCAATCAGACGACGACTTCGACATTCCTGAAGTGTTTCCAGTTAAGTGTACCATATGCATCAGACGTTTAGCCAATGTTCCGTGGGCGTGACGTCTGAGGCTGAGACTACTGCAAGATTAACGTTGGCAATTTTCACGCACAGCTACTAGAAGATTAACGTCTGTCAGACAGGTTGCTCACGTCATCAAGCTTAGTTTGAGTCGGTTTGAGTCTGCGCGTCAGGAATGGAAGTGCTCAAAAATCGCTAAAAATGGGCTTCAACTGTCTCAACTGAGTTCCAATGAGATGGCTCTGTCCACTTCTTATACTGTCTATGGTGGCAGCTAGCCTTGTAGACGGAAGAGTGATTTCTCTGACGTTTGTGCTGTTCTGGATTAGTGGGAGTGGCTTGCGGAGCTGTGCAATGTGGTGCATTGTGGGAGTTGTTGTCTTACATACAAATGCGCCCTAAAGTTATTTTCTGTCTTTTCTCGAGGGCACCTCAAGAGGGGACCAAATTCAAAATTTATTTTACATTTCGACTACATATATGACCCACTTTCAATAAAGATTAATGTTGAAATGGGTGAAATGCTCCTTTAAAACACCCTTCGAGTCAGAAGTGCACCTATTATGCCTTGAAATATTGCTCACATGGGCAACTCACTAGGTTTTGGAATCGATGTCACAAGCTACTATAAGGTCTAAGGATGCAAGTGCTTGTATGTGTGTTGGAAGTAATGAATAAAAGATCAGACCAGAAAATAAAAGGCAGAAGGAGAACAGAGGCTCTCTTCCTGTGTCCTGTCACAACACATTAAACTCGCTTTCTCTTCTATGCTTTTTTTCTGCATGACATTTTCAGCTTTCCCTCTTTCAATTACTTCTATTCTTTCCTGTATTGTCTCATTTTGTCCCTCTCTTTTTATCATCTCTTTTTTAAAGATGATCCAAGACACATGTTTAGAAACATTGTGTGTATTTTTTAATGAATGTGTGTGCCCTGCTAAACAGATTGGCACTAAAGATGGTTTAGTGCTGGTCTAGCTGCCAACAGAACCATATAAATCTTAGTGTGGTTGATCAACCAGCATGGGTTCTTATAAATCTGGTTGACAATGGAAGTCTTGGTAGTTGTGCATTTGTGTGTGTGTGTGTGTTTTTTGTGTGTGTGTGTGTTTTTTTTGTGTGTGTGTGTGTGTGTGTGTCTCACCTCTCCCCAGATGCCCACAGTGTCTCGTATGTCATTCTTGCAGTAGGACAGTTGACGGATGCAGTTGTTAACAGCGACACTGCTTTTACCTGGAGCCAAGTCCTCTTCTGCCATCTCTACCCAGCCGAGAGAGCGCACAGCAAAACACTGTCATAAACACAAACCCACTGATTAAGCACAAACACTGTAACATAACTACCTATCTATAGAGACTATCTATAGAGACTAAACTGAGGAAACACCTCTTTAAATTTTCACATGGCAGCTTCTAAGAATAGTTGCTGTTAAAACAAGTGAGAAAGAGAGAGCATTCATACACATACGATCATTTACACACACACACACACACACACACACACACACACACACACACACACACACACACACACACACACACACACACACACACACACACACACACACACACACACACACACACACACACACACACACACACACACACACACACAGAGATCAAACAAGAAGACCCTTTTTACTGGAAGATCTTTTCTTTCATCTCCCACTTGTTCCCCTCTTCCTTACTCATCTGTATCTCATTCCCAACACTCCAAGAGCAAATTCATCCATCATTCAGTCTCTCTTCTTTTCTAACAATCTGTGATGATGAGGCTCCTCCATTATGAAAGTGTTTGTGTGAGAGAGAGATTAATAATAGGCAGAATGTTGTCGCGTTCTTTCAGTTTTTGATTTTAACTGCTGCTGAAAGAACAGATCCTCAAAAGGAAGAGTGTGAAACACACAGAAAGGGAGATAGAGAGAGAGAGAGAGAGAGAGAGAGAGAGAGAGAGAGAGAGAGAGAGAGAGAGAGAGAAAGAGAGAGAGAAAGAGAGAGAGAGAAATAGCACAACTGGGGGGTTGGAGTAATGGCAGCATGAATGGCAGATGAACTCTCATCTGCAAACTCAAACCTGGATATTACAAACCTAGTAACTGGTAAAATTGAGAGACAGTGGGATGCTTGCAATGCATACTCTTATTCTGCGAGGACACATTCATTTGATCAAGAGTTACAGTAAGACATTTATAATGTAGCAAAAGATATCTATTTCATATAAATGTCGTTTTTCCCCGAAATTTCTTTTCATCAAAGAATCTTAAAAGTAAACTTAACAGTTGATGCAACTTAACATTGATAATAATAAGAAATGTTACTTTAGTACATAATCAGCATATTAAAATGATTACTAAAGGATCATGAGACTCTAACACATGTGTAGGCTTGTCACAATCATAAATGTTGTGCTGACAATTAATTATGATACAGCTAATTGATTAATGATTTATTTTTTTCTTTTCTTTCTTTCTTCTTATATAGTACAGTTTAATACAACACAAGTTGCCCAAAGTGCTTCAACATCACACACAACATCAGTACGTAGAAAAAATAAAAATAGAAAAATATATATAAAACAATACGACACAGCTGCAATTGAAAAACCTTTAAGAGAGTTCACACGAATGATTTCTGAAGGATAATGTGACACTGAAGACTGAAGTAATGATGCTGAAAATTCAGCTTTGCCATCACAGGAATAAATTACATTTTAAAATAAATTAAAATAGAGAACAGTTATTTTAAACTTTTATAATATTTCAAAATATTACTGTTTTTATTGTATCTTTGATCAAATAAAGCCAGCCTTAATGAGCATAAAAGAATGCTTTCAGAAACATTAAAAATCTTACCGACACCAAACTTTTAAATAGTGGTGTATGTGACACGAGGCATAACTGAAGGATTCAATACACGTGGAGCAAGCACACAACAACGAGATCAAAGGTAATAATTGCAACAACAAAAAAGAAATCTGCAGAATTCTGAAGGATTGGAGTGGAATGTGGAACACTTTTGTCAAAGCGATAGTTTACCCCAAAAGTCAAATGGACTTTTTTTGACCATTTTGTAGCTTAACAGTCATGTCCACCATCCACTTTCATTGCAAAGTAAAAAGCAATGTGGACAAATCTTGTATCATTTTCTTTTTAATCAGTGTAGTACATTACAATTTTGTAATATTTTATTGATTTGTTTCACATTTTGTGTTTTGTTACACAAATGCATGTGTATTTATGGCATAGTCTTTTGACAGAAGTGATGTTGTTTAGTGCTTTGTATTAACAACGGGGCTCCACTAAGGATTTAACTCACTCTTATTTGTGTGTGTGTATATATGTATATATATATATATATATATAGTAAAAATCTAAATTACAAAGGTGTTTTTGCATTGTCTTGTTAACCCTACTACTACATTTCTCCAAGCATGACATGCATGTGCATTTCTTTGAGCAGCCAGCAGATGGCACTGTATATCTAGAATTACATTTGAAGTTGAAATCTCCTAACAGAACCACCAATTTCCACTAATATACAAACAGCAATAAACAATGTTTATTGAATAATTTGTGCCAATCCTGCTACATGGTTAAACCATAGATTTATCATGCTTATTTCAGACAAACAATCTCACTAGCAGTAAATACACAGTAATGTTACAGTAATAGAGAACATCAATGCATTATGTACTCTTAAACAGGGCTTAACATGTATAGTTTTCCATTTTATGTTCCCATTAACTAGCTGTTTTTTATTTGCATTTCTATCAAGACAAGTCTCAGAAGAGTTTAGCATGGTAATGTATAATATGACAATATTAATCTATTTGGTCTTGGCAGAATAGATCTGCTACGCTGCCGCTGAGCAAGTACTGAGACTTGCTACTGCCAGTGCCAATACATACACAGACACACTGCTGCTGCACAAATAGCATATTAAATTACTCCTAGCAGATCTATACAGATGGAGCTGGGGAAGGTGGAAGGTTTCAGAGAAACTGCTACAGCAAACACTGACCAACTATTTAAATGTTTAGCAACAAGCTCATTGACTGCAGATGCAACATGAACCAATCAGCTTGAGCCATGTAGTTAACAATGTAATTGTCAGCAGGTTGCGTTAAGGACCCATTAGCCTGCCACATATCGAGTTTCATGATAGAACTTGGTATATATGCGACAAACAAGTAGTCATATCACTGGCAGAATCATACTTGAAATCATACTGGAAAAGGTGTTATATGATATGACACGTTTTTTTAGGACATGTTTGTATGTCTTTGATTTGATTCATGTTTGTCTCTTACAACAGTTTGACTCATTCTTACAATTTGACTTAAACCATATAATGTTGCAGTTCCTAAAAATAAAAAACCAAACAATTGGTAACACCAGCTCCATTATACAGTATATTATACACATTTATTACAGAGCTTGGTGAGTGTTAAGTTGTATCCTGTCCTCAGGGCTAAAATAAGTTCCCTGTACAGTTGTTTTCTTTGAATAGCTGCAGTATGTGCAGAACAAACTCGTGTGCTCTCACCTTGGCTTCAGGGTCACTGTTAATGCTGCTGGAATCTTCATCTTCCACAGGAGCAGGGTTTCTAAAGACAGACGACACGCAGTCAGAAGAGATATTTTACATCTCACTTTACCGTAATTTTATCCTCTCCCTCATTCATTTGTATTTATTTATTCCTTTCACACACCGTAGCTTGAGGGAGGCATAGCGGAGAGTTGCGCCTTCAAACTCTTTCAGACTGGGGTCAGGGTTTATTGTGGCCGCCTGTAGATCCTGAAGCAGAGATAAAGCAGAGATGCTTAAACACGAGAACACAACCATACAGCAAAATATACAAATATACAGCATGGAGCCAGTGGGTTGAGCGCAGAGATCTGTGTTGATGTGCAGGTCACGTAGAAACAAAACAGGAAACACAGTTCCTGCGATGAGTGATTAAACAAACTGAACTGAAAATGATTAACCAGTTTTAAATCAGACAAAGGTTGAACCCTGCACATTTTACAAAAGGAATATATTGAGAGGGTGAGGAGAAATGAAGAGGTATTGAGCAAAAGGCATTTTCTTAATAAATTATCTGCATAAACCTCAGTAAAGTTTGTTGTATATATCCAAATATTTTTTTAAACAAGATATATATATGTGTGTGTGTGTGTGTGTGTGTGTGTGTGTGTGTGTGTGTGTGTGTGTGTGTGTGTGTGTGTGTGTGTGTGTGTGTGTGTGTGTGTGTGTGTGTGTGTGTGTGTGTGTGTGTGTGTGTGTAAAAAAAATGTTTTACCCAATTTGGCAATTTATGTTTGTTTTAAGCATAATAACAAAATTTAGTGAGGTTTTTTTTTAAATAAAAAACTATTTGAAAAAAGGGGAACGTTTTTAAAAAAAAATTAGTTATATAAATGATTTTTGCAGTGGATGCAGACAAAAGACGAAATCCATGCTTAGAAGAAAGGTTAAAGGTCAAAAGGTGAGGAAGGTATGAAGTAGTACAGGATCTCAGAGCACAACTACACCAGTAGAACATCTACAGGTACAGACTTTTCTTTGAATTCTTTTTATAATGCAAAATACAGTTGCAAAATATGGGCTCAAATCACCTGCCATTGGCCAGAAAAAAAATATATATTTTGGACCCTGTGAAGAGCAGAACCAAGTTTTGTTCCAAGTGTAGTTCCCTGAGACATTCTACTGTGTATTTGGTTCAATAAAAAACTGCCTGAGATACTAACCTTCCAGACCTCACTGTCAATCTTTCCCACTGCAAAATCACTCCATGGCTGTTTCTGCACCATTATTCACACACAAACATACAAACAAGGAGGACAAGGTTGAGGAGTCAAGGGTGGGAGGGTGGAGAGAGACAAGACAGGGTTGTTAGATCACTTAACAACAATGTGTGTGTGTGTGTGTGTGTGTGTGTGTGTGTGTGTGTGTGTGTGTGTGTGTGTGTGTGTGTGTGTGTGTGTGTGTGTGTGTGTGTGTGTGTGTGTGTGTGTGTGTGTGTGTGTGTGTGTGTGTGTGTGCAGTATCTGGCTGTTGGGTGTTTGGTTGTGATTTGATTAGATGCAATATGGATGTTGATATCTCACTCTCTGTTGCAAGAATCATTTTCCCACAACATTCTGAGAGTAAAGGAGTTGCTGTTACCTTGTCTTCTTCCCGATGGCGTGTCTCAGAGTGTCTGTCCTTTCCTGGCATTATCTGTAGGGATGAGGACCGAGGCTATACACACACAAACATACAATACACATAGTTTTAGCTTTATTATGTATGACCAATGACCAAGACACTAATACTTTTATTCAGCAAGGACGCATTAAATTAATCAAAAGTGTCTTTTAAATTGTTACAAAAAATGTCATTTCATATAAATGCTGTTACGTTAAACTTTCCAATCATCAAACATACAGTAAATACAGTCATGGCAACCTGTAACTATATTAAACATTTACCCAGCTCTATTTAATCCATGGCAACTGAAGTACTGTCACAAATGGCAATTCAAAACTATAATCTGTGTTAAGTTAAGGTCTTATCTATTTATTCTCCACAACTAAATCATACTCATTATGAAAGCCAAACACCCAAAGAATGGCAGGATATGTCCATAGAGTATTGTTCATACTGTAAAATGGGACATTGATGAAAATACTTACAAAGTAGCAGCTGTTGACAAATCCACAGGAAGGAACATTGCCGTCAGAGGATGAGGAAGAGTTTGAGGACAGGATAGGGGTAGGTTCCAGACATGAAGAAGACGGGACGGGGGCGGGGTCAGACGAGCTGTCGGAAGTGGTGCTGCCTGAACGACTTGACGCCCCGAAAAACACGTCGGCATGAGACATCGACTAGAGGAAAACAAAGAGATACATTGGTCAATGTGGATAAATTAACAATTAATTTGCTTAAGCTGAGTTAACACGTCCAGTTTTTGTAACCACAGGATTTCAAAGGGTTACCTCGTGATCTGGAGTGGGTGAAGGCGAAAGGGAGCCCAGGGAGTGTTTGCGGCTGGCATGGCTGGGTCCAGTTGGCACCGGATGGGATGGGGCAGGTCTCTCCCACTGTGTGGTGCCCGTTGGAATGTGCCAGTAATAAATACCAGCCATGTCTGTCATCATCTTCCATCCTGGAGGCAAATCAGGGTCTGTCTGAAATGACTGCTCCCCCCAGATATCTGTAAATGCAAATACACAAGGTCAGGTGTGGTCCACACACCCTTTAACCAAGATATCCAAGACTCCTATGAGTGGGCGGTACGACCAAAATCTTTTATGACGGCATGAGTAATTTTATAACACGATATTTATCACCATACAACTTTTAGTTCCAGTACTGGGGGGAAAAAATGGGGGGAAAGAAGATGACGATGCTACTACTGCCACACCAAAAAAATCACGTTGGTGAAGACGTAGATTTATGAAGATTTATTTATTATTTTCTCAATATTTGGAATTTGATGAATGTAAAACAAAATATAATATTATTCATCATAAATTAATAAGTCTAATAAAATCTAATATTATAAAAGATCGAAATCAAAATTCTGATTGGCAACTACTTCACATTGTGCATAATGACACGCCTTAATTTCTTTTCTGTGTTACGTCATGATGTGTTTGAGATACATCAATCTCCTTATTTTTGCATTTCTCCATGTTTCTTTGTCGCTCTTATGTGTAAATGGTGTGAAGAAGTCCTGCCTTGCAAAAATAATTTTTTAAGCAAATATCTACCATGGTATAAACAGTACAGCAAAATCTCTATTGGTTAACACATTTCTACTGTAGCATGGTACCGTCATACTGCTTTCCCAACATATGGACACTGTTTATATGGAGTGGACATTTCCGTGTCAACCAATTCATTAAAACTGCTGAAGCCTAAATAATGAGTCCCCTTATCTCGGTGTGTTTCTGTGGGATATGAGAGCACTGTAATACATTATTATGTTGACATTATTAAGATTTTGTTTTAACTGTTCATTGTTTATGGCACAAAAGACTCCATCTCAAAGAAAACGTAAACACTAAAGTCTTCATGACACGTGTACGTTTTTTTCTTCCCTGTTGTGATGCATTTCTGAGCGAAACAGCTTGAATAAGAAAAAATGTAGGATGGGACTTGATTTTGTCCACCGCAAACGTTGTTTGTTATTGATGGCATGTGAGTAACAGGCTGTTGGAGCGGAGAGGTTATTTTATTTTATTTTGATAAAAGAATATATAAAATTTTAGTTTAATTAAAGGATATGAGGGCACAAGAATTAAAAATAAAATAATCATGTGCACAAATGAATCATTTATAATTAATACTGAAATATTGCATTCCAACATTGAAGATACCCAAAACTAGAATCATTTTGTGTAATACTGGCTTAATGCTACCAAGAATATAGGTCTTTTTCTGAGCAACTGGAAGACTATCATACTGTAAAATCTTTCTCTCTCACGCAGGAACTTGCTACTGTTCTGTCGGTCTTCGCTCAGCAGCTGGGAATGTTTGTTTCATGTTTCAGATGTTAGTAAGAGCATTATTCACACAATGCAATCTGGGTGAGGAGGAAAACCACACATACACACAGTAAACCACTGCAGTCTCCTACTCTCACACATATGCTGAACAGATTCAAGCCAGGAAACACGTCCTCACCAAAACCATGAAGCTGTGACATTCAGTGTCTTTAAAACTCTAAAGAGGTTTTTCAAAGGACCTTTTGTTAATCTACACATAATCTACGAAATCTACCTCCACAAAATGAATATAGAAAATGACTAACAACTAAAGAAACATTACCTGCCACATTGAAATAAACCAGCCTGAGACACAAATGATAAAATCTCTTTCATGTTCCAAGTTGATGTACTGTTGTTTCTAGGCTTTCTTACTTATTTCCTGCCACATAGCATGAAAAAAAAAACATTATGTCAAATAAGTAGGATGTCCGAATACTCAGTATTAATGATACTGTAGAGTAGACTAAGGCTGGATATATATTATCACAATATTCTTTTCCATATCATACAATATGGATTTTTATTATATTTATATATTCATTAACCATTAATGGGGAAGGAAATGCTTTCCACATATTTGTTAGACCTTGAAAATGAATGTAAACATGTAAACTTGTTTGTTCACAATTAAACTCCACAGAGTAGCTCCCTTTTAATTAAGGGCCCCATGAAATCCATTTTATTTTGGGGGGGGGGATTCTGTGTTTTATGATTAAATACAAATTTATATAAACTTAAAAAATGTAATCAAGCTTTTAAAATGTAATCAAATGAAAATATAGCAATTAACTTGCGACATGCACTTACTGGATGTTGTTGCATTTAGAACTAAATCCATATCGAGGAAAAATGTCCAGAGCTTTATCATCGTTATCAACGTAAATTTTATCGCGATCACGATATGATATCTTTTATCGCTCAGCCCTACTGTAGACAAAAGCCGATTTTCCACCGTTGGGCCAAACCATTCTCATTGCTTAACCATTCCATTCCGTGCCAATCAGGCGCAGCCGATATGGATATGGTTTCATTGTACACCGTAGGGATGATAATAGAGCTCTTTGGAATGTAATACAAATGCATCATGAAGGATGATCAGATATTTCTTTAAATTTTATTATTAACTTGCATGAACTTCGCTCGAATAGAGTGCTTGGCCAGCTAGAAAATGGCAGCCAGACAAAAGACAAGTGACCAATCCTGAGTGGCGCCGTCACTACACACATTCTATCAGCAGGGCCGCGAATGGTTTGCAATTGTGCTGTGCCGAACCAAAGTGGAAATATAACTGGAAGGGTTCCTTTCTGTTCTTAGAACCGTTCGGCCCGGCGGTGGAAAAGCGGTTAAACAATACCCAGATGTGTACTGGATCTGTTCTGAAAAGTTGCTGACAGTGGACACTTTGCTATCCCATTTGGTCACAGGAGCCATTCGATTCGAAAAGGTAAACCAATGGCGGGGAAATGTAAGTGTACATGCTATAGGTACTAAGAAAGTTGTTCTTCATTCATAAATTGTTCTTAACATCACCAAAGTAATTTGTTGACGTGTTGAAAGTCACATAGGTCAAAGAGGAGAGTCAACATGGTAGTATCACCTTGGATAGTCCACGTTGAAATCTCATTGGTCCAAAATCCCGCTCCACATAGCTGTATTAAATATGGGTGTTGAATTCACTTTCACTGTTTATATAAAAATAACTTGTTGCATCACGGCTGGTTAAACATGGAAGCCTGTCAAGAGGATGTGAGTGATAAGAATTCGAGCTGTAAAAACAGCATTTTATGCTGTTTAAACACCAAAGGTGCGATCAAATTATCAAAAAAAATTTGCAGGCGAAATGAAGTAATTTAAATCAGAATCCACGTGATTTCAATTGAGGGCAGAAGATTTCTCCACAAAAGATTTTGCATTGAGGTCAAGTTGGTTACCGCAATATATAACCTTCAGAAAGCAGCTTCGTTTGAAATTGACTTCTGAGAGATGTTTTACACATTGCTACATTCTTGAAAATTACCCTTTTTTGGCCACAAATTTTGACTGTGCCAAATAAAAATACAAATAGAAGATCTAAAAAAGACATTTTACCACACAGGCTTCTTCCCTCATCTTCATTTACAAGGTATACGACACACAAGAAGTGTAAATTGATACAATACTAATATTATTTTTATTCATATTTAAATTAGATTTTATTTTTATTTTTTCCATTTTAATTTATTTTAGTATTTTTTGTGTTTTGTCATTTTTATTATTTTATTTTTCATATTTTATTATTGTTTCGAAATTTGAAAACATGTCTATATTCATTTTTGTTTCAGTTTTAGTTTTCAGTTATTTTATTAACCTTGACAACTAGCTGAAATAAAATGATTTTTGCATTTTAAAGTTAACATTGATTTTCTTTCAAATAACGAAAATGTTTTTTATGGATTTAGTTTTAGTTAACTATGATAAATAGTATCACTGTGAGTAACGTGTTGAGGAAGAAAGCTTGAGTTGAGTCGCCTCACTGTTGTTCTCAGGTATGTTTCACTTTAATGAGATTTAATAATTAGCCAACAGAACTGACTAACTGAGTGAAACAGCTGTAAGCCAGCACTAGTCATGTAGCCTATGCTAAGTGAACACGAGTGCTTATTAGAAATGTCTCCTGTACCCAAGCTCCCTTTTAGTAAGACGACAAGGCACTGCAGTACAGGAGCTGTAGTGTTCTTTTAATACTGAGTATTATGCCAAGGTGCATTATGGGACTTGTAGTCCCTGATATAAGTGGGTCACTACAGCTGCCTAAAAACCTCATCGCAGAGACAACAAAACCTTCATACAGATTCAAATACAAAGAAATACAGACAATAATCAGGTTGGCATTGAATGATTTTGTGGGTTTTTCGGCAAAAAAATAACAGCAGCTAGTTCATTTAAAACACAGGTAAACAGTGTGCTAGCTTATACTATAGTTGCAATCCTAAACCTAGTTTTCTATGCTAGATTTAACATTCGACCCACTTTCGATAATGTCTGTCTCTTTCTGCATTCTATAAAGCATGTGGCGGGCAGAGGGGGAGGGGAGGACAGCTGTAAAATTCATGCCCACACGCACACACGGACGGACTGAAGTGCCATGAACATAAGCACAAACTTTGGTATTCACCACACAGCTCGTGACACCCTTCACTGCATCCTCCCTCCTTCCTTATCTCTCTTCTCCGCCTGCATTTATGAGCATGCACACGCAATGGAGACGCGTAGCTACATGCGCAGCACTGACTCACAACCAGACACACCGACACACAGTACCTACCCTCGTAATTCACTATAACAATGGCCAACATGTAGTCTTTACCCAGCATCATGACTGAGCAGCCGCAAGAAGAGAGGATGACATGAGAAGAGAGAGGAAAGCAGAGGTAGAGGCGGAGAGAGACAGAGGGGGCGAGCGACTGATGGAGAAAGGGAGAGGGAGAGACGGGGTGGGTGAGAATGCGAGAGCAACAGACTCTGTTTTATATGCTGTTTATTTCTATATCTAAATCTTGCAGGAAGAGATATATCAGCTTCCTGTCAATCCGGCACACGCAATTGGTCACCAGGCCAATCAAACCCACCTCTTTCGCCGAACGATCTGTCACCCCGGCAACCCCAAGATAATTTTTCCTACAGTGTCACCCAACGCGTGGTCATGTAACCTTGGTATGACAAGACACAGAAATGGTGGGAGAGGGATGAATGTGCAGGAATTGTGCATAATAGTCTGCTCCGGTGATGCCAGCTAACATCTGGGTGTAAAACCAGTTCGCAGCTGTCCATTACCCACCATGCTGGCTGAACAGACCTGCCACACACCTGTGAGGTTTTCCTGTCTACTGAGAGAGATATTGACAGACCCTGTGTCAATGGTAGACTGGTTTGAGTGACAGTCGGGGGGCAGAGAGGAGACTCCTTACCACAGAAACAGCCATTTTGACTCACCACAGTGATATTACAAGAAATTCAGCACAATTTAATATCATTGTCAAAAACATGTACTACATGGGTTGCGTGTATAGTTCACTTCACCCCAAAATAAAAATGATTTACAAATCCTCATTTTGTTCCAAACCAGAGCATGTGAGCGAGGCGGAGCGATGTGACGTTAACAGTATAGCACTACGAAGGTATTTCAAACTTATTTTTTCCCCTAAGCAAATAATAAAAAATAATAAAAAATAAAAAAACTTTGCTTAGTATATCACAAAATGAATTTTTGCTACTCCACACTCTCTTTCAATTACTTATTTTCCATAGTTCTTAACTTTGATGTTCACTGTGTATTTATGTATAAGGTTCGCAACTTCATTAAAACAATATTTGAACTCCACAACCTTAGCGGAATGAGCAAGTGGAGCGGAATCTTCAGAAAGTCATTCTCCGCTCCAGAGGAAATATCAACGCTCCTCTTACATGCTGTTCCAAACCTGTGATTTTTTCTTCTGTGTAATACAATAGTGTCTACTTAAAATGAATGGGAAAACAATCAGCTTTAAATTCTTAAAATATCTCCTAAGAACCTTTAGATACTTTACATACTAAAATAGCTGGTTACTCGCTCATGTATGCTTGGACAGACAGATGAAGACTTTAGCTTGACTGCACAGCTATTATTATTATAACTGCGCAGTCAAGCTAAAGTCTTCATCTGTCTGTCCAAGCATACATGAGCGAGTAACCAGCTATTTTAGTATCATTACTACAGATACTATTATAGTTTTTATTCATATTTTCAATTAGTTTTTCTTTTATCCTTTTAACTTTAGTTCAAGTTTTACTCATTTTTAAAAAAATATAACTATATAGTTTTTATTCATTTTTATTTCATTTTTAGTTATTTTAGTCATCTAAATGAACCTTGCCAACTAGCTAAAATAAATAAAGTTTACATTTTTTATTTTATTCTATTTTCAGTCACCTCGGCCACCTGTAGTGTAATTAACTTGTATACATGTTGAACGACTCAAAGTTACAGCATTATCTAGGTCTGTTAGTCCACTTCTCAAAAAAAGTGTTGTTTACAAAACGTTGGAAGATTAATTATTGTTTTAATCCAACTGAAATCAGACACTTACCAGTAACCGGTAACTGAAAATCCCTCACTGCAACGCTCAAATCTCACTTGTGAGCTTTTTTGTACTTTTTTGAGCTTGATAGCCAATGGTCACTGTCCACATCATATGGAAAAGAGCAACATAAAGATTCTGTTTAACTTCTTATTTTGTGGTTCACATCTTACAGGTTTGGAATGACATGAGAGAGAATTACATAAAAACACACACACAAAATAGTAAACTTGCTTTTGACAAGCTTTCATTCAAACCAGACACACACTGTGCTGCGTTTACCTAGATCACACTCCAGTGAAGTGAAAAGTACAAACACACAAAAACCTCTCTGCCAACGCACTTCGGTCAAATTGAAAACCACACATACCACATGTGTGCACCATATCCACTACATTAGGCCAAAACACACACATCAAACCGCACTGACCAGCAAGCTACACACGTAACGCTTTGAATGTGTACTACTGACCGCTCTCTTCTGGTGAGCCCAGTGATGCGCTGTCCTGTGACAACGTGGTCCAGCTGGACTCCTCGTCACTGTGTGGAAGGTTCTGGATGCGGTTTAGTGCCCGGTCTGTCTTGGCTCCTGTCCGTGGTCTGTCTTTTTTTGTCTCCGGTGACGAAGAGGAAGATGAAGAGCCGACAGACAGGAGGGGCGTGTCCTCAGGACTGTGCGGTTTCTGTGGAGACGAGGGGCAGGGATTCTTCTCTTTCTCCAGCAAAGGCTTAGTGGCATCCTCATCCTGCACATCAGGCAGTTCGTATGACAGGTCATGCAGACATGACTCCAGGAAACTCTTGGTCTTAAGGAGCTCGGGGGACTTCCTGTCTGAAACAATCTCAGTTTTCTCAGACAGAATGAGCAGGTCGTCACAATACTCCACATGATCCTCCTCATTAGATTCATCATCAACCAACTCATTTACATCCTCGTCAACAAGCTCGTTGTTGGTGTCAAAGTCACTGTGAACATCGTCAACAATAGACTCACTGTCGAGGCTTAATTCCTCAACGTTCCTCAACTCATCATTGATGTTGAGCTCTGATTCGCCAGTTGTGTTTCCATCTTCGTCTTCTTCTGTGGTGTTCTTGTTGTGATCCTCTCGCTCCGCAGCTTTACGTAACTGATTTGCACCATTTTTGGCCAGTTTAGGGTTGGCAGTAGTTGCTGAAGATGACGACGGTGGCGTCACGCCTTCGCCGAGTCCCATCGCACTCTGAATGCTTGTGAGTGCGTACTTCTTCCGGCACTTCGGAGGCGTGGCCTGGCCCTGTTTGATGACATCACCACTTAGCAGTTGATTGTGTGAGGAACGCAGGCTGAGGGAAGTGGGAGGAGTTGCAGAGGGCCCGTTGCGATTCGCTACGTCCACAGAGGGGGAGGGGTTACGTGGTGAGGGCACGCAGACTGACATCATGGCTAAAGTGAGGAAGAGTGAAAAAGCAGTCAAAATCACACTTAAACATTCAACAGTGCATTCAACAATAGAAAGCCAAATGCAAAAGGTCAAATGAAATCTACAATATTTTTTAATTTTTTCAATCTAAGCAGAATTCTCAATAATTTTTAGGTCAAGCGCCTCTATTAATTGAACTAAAGCCGAAAAGCTTATTTGTCTTTGCTTAAGCAGCACTGCACACAGTGCTGCTTCTGTGATACCAAACTGAATTACCACATTTAAAATCAACTTAATCTGGCGGGAATTGAATGTGATTTTAGCTAATTTACAACTCAGTGCTTCATAATATGATGAGATTGGGTGGAAAATGAAATCAGTTTCATGCCAAAAGATGAGATGATTTTTACTAACGCTCAAAGAGCAGATTCAGAGGCAGTACATTCACTAGGAAAGAGGATGTAACCAATCACACAGTAATCTGACATTTTATAAGACAGATAAACACAAACAGGGCTCCAGACTGAGTAAATAAAATTGAGATTTAATTTAAATTTAAAATCTAGTCACCATTGGCAACAGAAGGGAACAGTATACGCCTCCAAATTAATTTAATCAAATAACATCTTGTGATGAGTCAGGAATCATACTTATTCAGTGAATCATTTAGAGCTGTTACAGAATTAACAACAGATTTCCTCACTGAACAGTAAGTCATTTTTGGTTGTGTCCAATATTAAATAACTGAGAAGAACTGGGAAAGTGTACTATAAGTTTGTCAGTCCATTTACTGACATGGTAATATAAAAACAATTAAAGATACAGATTCACAATAGTAATAAAATAATAAACTGAATATTTTGGTTGTTGTCTAGCATAGTGAGACAAAAAAAAATTAAGGTTGAATTGACGTTGTTTGGGAATAACACTGTTAGACAATGTTGGATCAATGCAACATTGGATTTTTTTAAGCAGGCAAAAATAATCAACCATCTATACAACGGTTCTGTAAAATGGCAATTAACAGAAGCAATTAGTCTCCTAAAAGATTAATTTTAATAGCCATTGGCTCCCTAGTTGATGTACAAATCATGTCCAGACAAAGAGGGCTGTCTGACCTTGTACAGGTTTTCTTGTTGAGCCAGAGAAGGTGCCAATGTAAATCTGCAACAACAACAAAAATAATAATACAATTATCTTCTTTTATCATCCGCAGACCGTCCATAAACACACATGCATGCAGATGCAAAGGTAGCACAGTATGATTTCAATATATGCTGTAACTTTTATGCATTTATTCACAATTACAAATGTGCAGCTTCAATGTTAGTTTTTGAAAAGCATAATATCAGTATAAAATCAAAGGTTAATACAAACATTCAATGAGCAGGCAATCATACTCACCAGGGAGCTGAGGATTGTGGGTATTTCCACAGAGCCTCCTGGGCCATGGTGTAGAATCAGCGCATCATCAAGGTTTTGGCCAATCAGCACCAGCTGAGTATATAACCATGGAAGCACTCAAGAAATATGTTCTGAACACAATAATAAAAAATATGATCAGAAAATAGATAGCATATGTAAATTGTTACTTAATGCATTTTCACTACACCCATCCCTCATCTAAGGTTAGTGATGTGTGAGTGTGTGTATCTTCCGGGACATCTTCTACTGTGCGTGTAAACAGCATGGGGTGGAAATATGCATCTGGAGCACAATGACGAAAATAACTGTCAGGGTGGAGACACAAACAGAAACACACACTCAATCTCAAGGGGAATCACCTAACCGGGTGGTGAATATGAATAAAATAATTGTTTCACTGCACAGATCAAGGACATTAAACATGTCTAAACATTATAACCAAAAATAACTAGGGCTGGGCGATTCATCAAGTATTTGTGATGATTTCGGTAAAAATACAACGATTTTAGTTTAGGCATGGGCAGGGGTGGGCTGAACACACTCAATCAGAATTTAGGCACAGATAGTGTTAATCTGTTTGTTTTTTCTCTTTTTTTTATGATTTGAGCATTGATTAAAAACAATCTGAGGCAAGCTGTATGTTGAGAAGTATGATGAAGGGCTGTAGAATTCACCAACCAATCAAAAAATAACCCCAGGAAATACTCAGCAATGATGTTGACTTATGACTTTGCACATGGTTTGTCTTAAAGCATATTAAAACACCACATAGACATATAAACAACAACATTAAAAACTTGGTTTTCCCCACAGGGGGTTTTTAGGTTTCCTAAAGAGTGTTTTGGTATGCTAGCTTCACGATCCTTCCCTGTCTCATGACTAGTGAGTGTAGGTGCTGTTACATTAGCAAAGTTTCGATGAAATTTCAAAGACAGAAAGCAGCTTTCTGTTGGTCTGTTGCAAAGTCTGTGTCTGAAAGTCTTTCGCCCTCATGTGACATTTGCAATTGAGTGAATTCCTATTGAAAATGTTATTGTCCACAAAAATTCACAAAACAAAGCTAAATGTGACTGCACCTTATAAGTGATAAGATATATATATTTTAATAGCTTGAGCACTTGAAAATACGCATTTCAATGATTCCACTCATTCACTCTGATTCATTCAACAGTTAGTTTGAGGCATTACTCAAATGTCTCTGCATGCCATTTGGATTCAAATGTTTTAGCAAAAGCATGTGTAAAAACGTCTCGGTTACTATTGTAACCCCTCGTTCCCTGAAGGAGGGAACGGGAGATGTAACGTCGACGTGACGACGTAATTGGGATCGCCTTGAGAGACCAATCTACTTCGAGAGTATTAAAACGAGCCAATGCATATTGGCATGCGATAATTGCATCAGCTGCTCTGCTTGCCACGCGAGCATATAACGAGCAGCAGGTGCGTCGCATATTGTTTTACGCTGAGGAGCCGTGTTCGGCCGTACAGCGATGGTCAGCAACCGTGGCGACGGGACTAGGGATGGGAATTGAAAACCGGTTCCACTCGAGAACCGGTTCTAAGTTTTACGATCCATCGATATTGTATGCCCTCGACGTTAACGAGTCCTCTTATCGATGCTCCTGCTCTGAGTCAGCCATAGGCTACAGACTGTGAACTCACAACTGTCCCTTTTGTCCTTTATCAAGCACCATAGCACGGCGTCCAAAGCGAATTTTTGTACCGCCAAAGCCTTATTTGATCGGTGAGTAATGTAGTTGAACTGCTGCGCTTGTGACAGGGCGCATGTTAAACTGAACGAGCAGAGAGAGAGAGAGCCCCGGTCGCGCGCGCACTCTCTCTCTTCGGAGCAAGGCTTCACCGTCTCAAAACTAAGCGTTGTCTTGCTCTCTCTCCCTCGCACATATTAATCAAAATAAACGACACGATGGTAAGGTCGGGAGACTAAAGTTTCATGTGGAGCATTCGGAGATTTGTTTTTCCTGAATTAGGCTACCGCTGGGTGTGAATTGTGCTAAAATACGTTGCCTTATCTTCTCTGAAAAGTGTTCCGCACATTAAGCTGACATAAACCACACTTTAAATAAACGGGAAAAAAAACTATCCATTAATGAAATGTTTTCTGTGATGACACATCTTGTGGGATGTCCCAACGCGCCGGGATAATCACACAACGCGCACACGTCCGATAATGACACGTCCAATTCGCGAACTAATGACTCATTTGAACCGATTCGTTTTAATGGATGGTAAAAACATCCCCCCCCCCCCCCCCCCCCGAAAAAGCATATGACACAGTGCTATCAGGAATCGATAAGAGAATCGTTAAAGAATCGGATCGATAGATCAGAATCGTTAGTGGCATTGATATTGATAAAATCTTACCAATTCCCATCCCTAGACGGGACGTTACGTCTCCCGTTCCCTCCTTCAGGGAACGAGGGTTACATTAGTAACCGAGACGTTCCCTTTCAGTCGCTCACGTTCGATGTAACGTCGACGTGACGACGTAATTGGGATCCCATGGAAAACGCCAGGGTTGCTGCCACATCCAGCGCCCTACGCAAGACTGGGGCGGAAGGCCTGCGTAGAGAGAATTCGAACTGCTGTTCCTTTATAATCCACACAGTCGAACTCTTGGATAACACTAGGACAGCGTGCCTTTCCAGGGGAGAGGGACGCTGCGGAAGCCACATCCTGCCCGAAGGGAGGTAACGTGGAGATACACATATGGACTGGCCGGATAGGGGCAGTGCAATATATGGAATGTCACTGGGGTGGCTCCAGCCTGAGAAGGGGGAGGCTACACCGGACAGTGACGGTAGAGCGGACTCTGCCAAGGGAAAGACACAGGCTCACCACAGGGAGCTGGTCGTGGAAGAATATGCATATGGGATCGCCGCAGGGATCACCACATATGGAACCCAGCCTAGCACAAGTTACACAAGCATACGAGCACTAGGCCTGGCGTTAGACGCTCCGCAACGTCTGACTGCCGAAGGGGTGCGGAGGAACTCACAGGGTTCGCCTAAGTGGGGAACTCGACTGGAGCAGAAAAGCGCACATATCCGCTCCATGTGGAGGGGAGTGGCGCAGCAAGCCGACACTAGAGCGGAACTTCGGTGTTACCGGCTGGTTGAAGCGAGCACACAGGAAGAAACCGGCTCAACACGTAGGCTATAAAACCTAGCGAACGTGTTAGGTGTCGCCCAGCCCACAGCTCTACAGATGTCTGTCAGCGAGGCGCCGTGTGCCAGCGCCCAAGAAGAAGCGACACTCCTAGTGGAGTGGGTTCTCAACCCGGGCGGGCAAGGCACGCCTTGGGCTTCGTAAGCCAAGACGATGGCATCCACTACCAGTGGGCCATCCTCTGCTTGGAGACAGCCTTTCCCTTCTGCTGGCCTCCGTAACAGACGAAGAGCTGATCTGAGGTCCTGAGGCTTTGCATTATGTCCATGTACAGGCGCAGAGCGCGGACGGGACAGAGAAAAGCCAGGGCTGGGTCTGCCTCCTCCGAAGGCAGCGCTTGCAGGTTCACCACCCGGTCCCAGAAGGGAGTGGTAGGAACCTTGGGCACGTATCCGGGCCGGGGTCTCAGGAACACGTGAGAGTTAGCCGGGCCGAATTCTAGGCACGATCCGTCGACCGAAAATGCATGCAGGTCCCCAACCCTCTTGATTGAGGCCAATGCAACCAGGAGTACTGTTCTACAGGACAGAATTTTTAACTCCGCTGACTGCAAAGGCTCAAGGGGTGGTCTCTGAAGTGCCGAAAGGACCAGAGACAAATCCCAAGAGGGTATAGAGAGCGGACGAGGAGGATTTAGTCTGCTCGCCCCCCTCAGGAACCTGACGATCATGCTTTCCCAGCAACTGCATCGTGATGTGCGGCAAAAGCAGCAACATACACTTTAAGGGTGGAGGGAGACAGCCTTTGCTCCAACCCATCTTGCAGGAAGGAAAGCACGGCTCTGACCGAGCAAGTTCGGGGGTTCTCCTCGTGAGAAGAACACCACTCAACAAACAGGTTCCACTTCAATGCATAGAGGCGCCTCGTAGAGGGGGCTCTAGCAGAAGTGAAGGTGTCGACTACCGCGGGGGGTACCAGGGACCAGACATGGAGTTTTCAGAGGTCTGAAGGCGGGTGCCATAGGGTGCCCCGTCTCTGAGAGAGCAGGTCCTCTCTCAGAGGAATGGGCCAAGGAGGGGCTGTCGCGAGGAGCACTAGTTCGGGGAACCAGGTCCGGTTGGGCCTATACGGCGCAACTAACAAGACCTGCTCCTCGTCCTCCCTGACCTTGCACAAGGTTTGTGCAAGAAAGCTCACTGGGGGAAATGCATACTTGCGTAGGCCCCGGGGCCAGCTGTGTGCCAGAGCATCCGTGCCGAGGGACCCCTCGGTCAGGGAACAGAACAACTGGCAGTGAGACGTGTCTGGGGCGGCAAACAGATCTAGCTGTGCGGTCCCGAAGCACCTGAATATCAGCTGGACCAGCTGGGGATGGAGTCGCCATTCTCCCGGTAGCACCCTCTGCCGTGAGAGCTCGTCGGCTGCACGGTTGAGCAGGCCCGGAATGTAAACAGCACGAAGCGACCTCAGATGCTTCTGACTCCAGAGGAGGAGATGGTGGGCGAGTTGTGACATGCGACGGGTGCATAGACCACCCTGGCGGTTGATGTACCCAACGGTCGCAGTGCTGTCCGAACGGACCAGTACATGCTTGCCTAGTAGCAGCATTTTGAAGCAGCCCAGCGCAAGATGTACTGCTAACAACTCGAGGCAGTTGATGTGCCAATGCAGTTGAGGCCCCATCCTCAGACCTGAAGCTGCATGCCCGTTGTACGTGGCCCCCCAGCCGGTGGCAGAGGCAACCGTGGAGACCAGAGAATGCCTGGACACTTGTTCTAGGGGAACACCTGCCCGAACAAACAAAGGGTCCGACCACAAGCTGAGAGTTTGGCAACAGTGCGGGGTCACTTGGACCCGGCACGAGCCGCTCTGCCACGCCCATCTCGGGAATCAATCGTGGAGCCAGTGTTGGAGCGGCCTCATATGAAGCAATCTGAGCGGCGTTACCACGGCTGCAGATGCCATATGCCCCAGGAGCCTC